CTCGTCGAGCCCTGGATTCCCGATCCTTCCAAGTTCATCTCGGTGAGCCAGAACGATCTCTCGAATCGGCAAAATCTTTCCACTGAGTTCTTCGAAGTTTTGTTCGAATGAAGTGAGTTGTGGAGCTTCGATAGGTCAACGTGGGAGGCTTGAAGAACGTGCTGCAAGCGGCGAGGGAGACGAAGTCCGTCGAGAAGATTGTGTACACGTCGTCGTTCTTCGCGCTCGGACCCACCGACGGACACGTCGCCGACGAGAGCCAAGTATCGCGCCGCTTCGATTCGATTGGATTCTGCGATCTGGGTTTTCTGATAGTGTGATTTTCTTTTACCCTATCAGCGATTTGGTAGCATCAGAGCTTGTGTTTGCGATGGCAGGTCCATCACGAGAAGTTCTTCTGCACGGAGTACGAGAAGTCGAAGCTCGTCGCGGATAAGATCGCTCGGCAAGCGGCGGCGGAGGGGTTGCCGATAGTGATGGTGTATCCGGGAGTCATTTACGGCACTGGCAAGCTCACGGCCGGCAATGTCGTCGCGCAATTGGTAGAGTGAAACCTCTGTAGCCTGATCTCTGGGTCATGTTTAAAGTTAGACTGACGGTGCCATTTGATTTTGGGTACATAGTATTGATGATGAATGGAGCATTTTGTCAAAGTTTTAGGTCCAGAAGCTGGTTAGCTGTCGGTCTTCGAATTCGGTAGCTGAATTGACCAAATGCCGGTGTGTGATTATGGTTTGTTGTGGGGAAGAGAATCTAGTTCTTGGAAGGCTTTATAGTTAGTCTGATATAGCTTTGTTAGCCGATGATATTAATCTGGTCTTCTTACTGATTGCCATCTCTAATGCGTATGAATCTGCCGTGAGTTGCAAAATGGTTCTTCCTTTCCACTCTACCTCCTGATTATGGTTTGTATGACTGGAACTCACCCAATATGACGTCAATGATTTGAGTGCTGAAATAGGCTTAGGATAATTATCTGTCCTAATTGATATTTGATTCCCCGTGTTCTCCTGTTCAGTTGATTGAACGCTTCAACGGGAGGCTCCCTGGTTACGTGGGGTATGGTAGTGATAAGTATTCTTTCAGTCATGTTGAAGATGTCGTACAAGGGCACATTGCAGCACTGCACCGAGGTCGACCTGGTGAAAGATATCTACTTACAGGAGAAAATGCTTCCTTCGTGCATGTTTTTGACATGGCTGCCATTATAACTGGAACGAAGAGGCCGAGTTTCAATATCCCATTATGGATGGTTAACATGTATGGATGGGTGTCAGTTTTCTTCTCCAAGATTACAGGAAAGCTTCCACTTATTAGCCCTCCGGTAAGCTTCATCACTTCTACTGGATCTGCTTAAACTGAAGTCCTCACTTTGTCTGGCTGTATGTGACCCTTTTGGGCATTTCTTGTTGAGGGTGTTAAGAGTATTGCATTTGAGAAATCCTAGGCATTCCAAGAGCTCTTGTAAAATCTGTCGACAGACTGTCGGGGGCAACCTTATATCCTCTCTGTGAACCAAACTACATATTTTGTCTGTGGGTTCCACTTATTAAGAAATGATTAAACTCTCAAGCAAGCAATGTTATCTGCATTTCCAAGTTACCTAGTGAGCAACTCTCATTGAGGATTTAGTGTATATAGCATTGCTTGTCGCATTAAGTCTCTCAGTCATGTTTAACTACCTGCTTGATGCGTCACTGCATAGTTCCAAGTAGCGGATTCTAGCCCCATCTCTGTTTTGTTGATGTTCTACTGTGGTGTTGAGGCTGGATAAGCCACAACACTTCGTAAATAAATTATATAAATTAGTCTTATATACCATATTTCTTGCATTATTATTTGTGAAGAGTGTTCTCAAAAGTGCGTTTCCTTTTGCAGACTGTCCAAGTGTTGAGACATCAGTGGGCCTATTCTTGCGACAAGGCCAAAGTTGAGCTTGATTATAAGCCCAGAAGCCTGCGAGAAGGGGTTGAAGAGATGCTTCCTTGGTTGAAGAGCTTGGGTTTAATAAAATACTGAAAAACAGGGGACTTCCATCAAAAGAATAACAAAGCTACTCGTTATTGTTATGGCTGATAGAGATGGCAAACACTTGAAGGGCTTCTTGTGCAGCCTTCCTGAATCTCCGCTGTAATCTTTGCCCCTCAGATGATTAAGAGCGCTTATCGAACATGCAAAAATTGAAGAGGTTAGGAGGAGTAGAGGACATTCTGGTCCATGTCTTCGCAAGAAAGAGATGGTTTGTGAATAGTGAAACTCAGTCTTAGGAAGTACATCATGTCCTGGTTGACAGCCACTGAGATTGAGGTGGGAAGAGATGATTCTGTGGCATGTTATTCTTGTGTTCTAGTAACTGAGCCAGTGGAGTTCACGCTTCATGCTGAGGATGCGTATTTTCTAGCAGCAAGAAGATGCTTTTCGTATCATGTAAGGCTATATTTTAGTATTTTGATAAATATGAGACAATCTTGGACTCAAATGTCGTCGTAAAGAATGCTTGTCGTTTTGTTGGAACCAATAAACTCAGTATGAGATGAGATAGCTATCGGGAGATCTGTTGATCGACGCCCAAACTTAAAATGATAAAGACATGAATCCCCTTGGTAATATCATTTATCTAGGTAAGAAATTGTCTGGAAAAAATGTATGCAAATTTTAGTCAGATTTTCTTTAGGTAAAAGCTATATGGTTTTTGGCTCGGGAAATTGATATACTCGATTGACTTGTGATTTTTAAGGTACATGTATTGTCGATTCTTACTGTCAAGCTCGTTGAGAAAAGCCCCATATAATCTCTTATGCCGCATCAAATTGATTAGGGAAAATAACACAAATAATCCTTAAATTTTAGCTCAATGTGCAATGTTGTTCATGAACTTATAATCCGAAACTTTAGCCCATGTATAATGTGATCCCTGAAATTTTAATTTGTTTGATGTAGTTCCTAAACTTTTTGTATATGTTCAATATAATTCTTGGATTACATGAAAATGTTCAATATTGTCTTTTTTTTTAATTCAAGTTAATGGAATTTACCAATTTGGCTTTCAATCCGATAATGTTTGAACAGTTGACCAAAACAAAAGATACGTATGAATCATTCATGTTAAATATTCAACTCATATTAGAATATACTAATTATTTTAATTTGTTCAATTTGGAAAAACGATTACTCATGTTATTTGATGACGTACATTATTACATTCTGATTTGAGTTAAATATTTACATAGATAATCCACTTGTAACGTTTTTTTGCGCACCGTTCAAACTTACTGGATTAAAAGCCAAATTAACAAATTCCGTTAACTTGAATATATAAAAGAACAGCATTGAATATTTCCACATAGTCCATGAACTAGATTGAAGATTATCAAAACTTCAATGACAATGTTAAACAAATCAAATTTTAGGAACAACATTGTATATTAGTCTAAATTTCATAGACCACATTTGAACAAATTAAAAAAATTTAGGTACGAAATGTATAATTATCCCATTTAATTACTAGTCATTGTCACGAAAATGATAGGCCTTTTTGCTTCGGCTTCACTAAAAGCTAAAAATGCTTTTTGGTTTTCTCGTCAAGATTCAAATATTATTCAAATATCAAGACATTTTAAATGAATGAACTTGTCGATTTTTTTTTCGTATCATGGAAATTTCAAGTATTTCAAATTTAAATAGTCCAAATGCGTGATCGGCAAGATTTTAATCAAGTTAAGAGTAAAAGTAGCCAGGTCCGATTGAAGATTTCATGTACTCCAGTTCCCTACAAATGATCATAATTCCTTTCAGAATAAGGTGATTATGGGAGAAAAGGGAAAAGTACCAAAAAAGTCTTAAAACTATTGCATCGGTACCAATTCAGTTATCGATCTTTTAATTAGATCAATTTAGTCTTAAACATTTTTCCATTAGTATTCAGCTAATTTAGATCAGAAATTGCTGACATAAACGTGGGCTGGCCTATGTGGTACGGTTGGCACTGATGTGGACATTTTATTTAATTTTCAAAAAAAAATTTCGAATTTTGTTATTAAATTTTTTTCTTTTTTTCTTCTCTTTTCTTTTTTCCTCTTTCCTTTCTCTTTTTCCTTTTTTTCCTTTTTTCCCTCCGCTCGTCGCAATGGGCGAGGGCCTGCCGACCTTTGGCGAGGGCTGGACAGGGCCGCGTCTCGCTAGATTCGGTGAGAGGAAATATGCCCGATGCTCGGGAGGGCGTCACCGATGGCTGGTGTCGGCCATCACGGAAGTTAGAGACTAGCGAAGGGAAAGAGAAAGGAAAGAAAGATAAAGAAAGAAAAAAATAAAAGGTAAAATAAAAGAAAAAAAATGGATAATGACATAAATGGTACCCAAAACTTTGGCTCAATATGAAACATGGTTTCTAAAATTTTAATTTTTTCAATGTGATCCATGAACTTTACCCCAATGTGCAAAATGGACCATGAATTTTTAATTTATTCAATGCAATCCCTGGATTTTTGGACAAATTAAAAGACTTTTGGTCCCTGATACTTCTCTAAATGAGATTCTACACCTCCTACTATCGAGACCATAAGATACAATATATTTAAATAGAACTATTGTAACATTTATAAAGGCCAAAAAGGTTAAAAGGCAATAAAATGATCGTATATTTTTTGTTGATTTAGTTTATTGAAATTAAAAGTTATTTTAATAGAGCAATAGTGTGATTATGAAAATTTGTGAACAAAATCAAAGAATGACATTGAACATTTATGAATAGTTGATGGACTAAATTAAATAAATTGAAAGTTGAGGGACCAGATTGAATATTCAAGGATAGTTCAAATTTAGAGATGGTTATTGTCATCTTTTCATAATTCAATGACCACTACGCAACCAAACAAACGGGGAAACAGAGAGAGAGAGAGAATGTGAAGAAAGTTATTCTGACAACATTTGATTTTATCCTAGTCCTGACCAAAAGAGGAAGATTATTCAAGGATTAGTGCCCACCCAACGGTCGACTGGCTCTCAAACTCTCGATTTCTGCACATTTCTCCTCATCACATCGTATCCTTTTTCCTTCTTTCTCCTTCTGCTTCTTCCTTCTTCGTTTCCGCATCCTCCAAATCTCTTGCTGAACTGAGCAGAGGAAGCAAGGCAAAATGGTGGCCGCCAAGCCGAAGGTATCCTACGAGGAGTGCCGCCGCAAGAGGCTGGAGGAGAACAAGAAGCGAATGGAGGCCCTCAATCTCCCCCAGCTCTCTCAATCCCTCCGCAACTCCTGCTCTCCCAACTCCACCCCTGTAACTCCTAATGCCCTCTCGCCCACCCTCTCTCTCTCTCTCTCTCTCTCTCTCTCTCTCTCTCTCTCTCTGCTATTCATACTCTGTTTCGGGTCACTCTTGTCAGATGAAGCAGTCCAAGCCACGCACGGTGGAGAAGCGGGTGGTGGTGGTGAGGAGGTCCGGTCGCGTCGCGAACAAGCCCGCCCCCGTTTACAGAGAGGTCACTCCATTAGACTCTGCTTCTTTTGCGGAACTCTTGTTTGCTTCATCGGGTCTTGGGACATTGGAAAGAATAAAGAGTTCACATCAGAAGTTTTTCTACGATCGACCCTTTTCTTAGTTTTGCATTTCTTTTCACTCACTCGATCGTATCAGGCTTAGGAAGGATTGCTTGGTGCGGTTTATAGCCGGTATTGATCATAAAGTTTCAAACTCTGTTCTTGGGTTCAGGTGGTGATGGATCGGGTGGCAGTGCCCGATCAAAAAAAAGAATTCAAATCAGAAGTTTTTCTATGCTCGACCCTTTTCTTAGTTTTGCATTTCTTTTTTCACGGAAGAAAATCACTCGATCGTATCAGGCTTAGTAAGGATTGCTTGGTGCGGTTTTTAGCCGGTATTGATCATAAAGTTTCAAACTTTGTTCTTGGGTTCAGGTGGTGATTGATCGGGTGGCAGTGCCCAGAAGGTATTTTATCGTTTCCTTCATTTTTTTTTTCGTTGTACTTTGCGAAATGATTTCCAAGATGTTAAAAAGTCCTTATATTTCGCTATTAACATTACCAAATGGTTTATGAAAATCGATAGGATTTACAGGAGGAGGGATCCGCTCAACCTGGTGTATGCCTCTGCTGAGGCCAGGGAATATGCAATAGAGAAGGCGGAGGAATTGCAGTCCACTCTGGGACCTCACTATCCCACCTTAGTCAAAGCCATGCTCCCATCTCATGTCTCTGGTGGTTTTTGGCTGGTAACAAAGTTTAATTCGTTTGCCACTTCGATTTTGTTTGATTTCGATTCCCTTTGCGCTATTTGTACCGTCTGCAGCATTCGTTAGATGTGGCGTCCTGGAATCGAGGAGGGATTTTGCAACATTCATCGACAATTTTTTTTTTTGGTAAGGGTCATCGACAATTTGGTTTTCTCTTTTTCTCATGTCATTTCATTTGCAGGGCCTTCCCGTCCACTTTTGCAAGACGAGCCTTCCTAAGAATGACGGGGTCATCACATTGGTCGACGAAGATGGTGAAGAATTCCCTACGATATATTTGGCGCGGAAGACGGGACTCAGCGGAGGATGGAAAGGGTTCTCTGTAGCTCATGAGCTAACTGATGGAGATGCTGTAGTTTTCCAGTTAATTAAACCAACCACAATGAAGGTAGTAATGATGAGACTGTATTTGAGACTTGAAAGTCAGTTTTCTTGCTTCCTAACCTTTTTGTCACAGTCAAGCTAGTAAGTTGGTTCATTAAGAAGGCACTAAAATAAAGCGCACCTTTGAATTTATACTTACGTGTTAGTGTTGCTAATTCGGGTATGCCTCTTTATCATCTCTTTCTTTTGTCAGACATTGATAGATTATAGAATAAGTTGTCCCATGTGTCTTTAATAGATTGTAGAATTCAGAAGGACTTAAGAAGATCATAAATATAGATTTAAGGGGAGATGTGCCTTTGGCATTCCACAGTACAAATAGCCATCACCATATCCTGTTATAAACACAAAGTTAACCGTGAATGGCATGTGCATCATTTCCTAGGATGTTTTACTTCCTTCTGAATGGTGCTATATTATTTGGCTGCCATGTAAGTGAAGTGCCATTTATATTCTCATTTTCAGGTTTACATCATACGAGTGAATGGATTCGACAAGAGTGAGGAGCCCTAGGTAGATTAGTAGCATGGTTGCTCTGCAGTCGGATTTTGGACATATAATGGTAGGTAGCGAGTTTACCACTTGCCTATAGAGTATATTAGTATTGTGCTTGTGGTCATTCTTTGGATGTTTCTCTGAAGTTTAGTGACCAATCTCCAGTCGTCAGTCACAAATGGACAGCTCTTCTTTTGATTATGTTTTAGCATCTCCAAACTAGATTTCACTCGTGTGTTTTCACACTCTTTGAAAAAAAAATCTCCTTTCAGACAAGCAGAAGCAGTTTCTAAAGCAAAGCCTCCTACAGTGTTTTAAACCTCAAAGTGCTTAGTTCTTTTAATCATATGAATTCATTTCATTGAAGTTCCTCCATAAAGCCTCTTGCAGTGCTTTAAACCTCAAAGTTCTGAGTCCTTTCAAACATGAGAACTCGTTAAATTGAAGTTCCTCCATGAAGTATGCTTTGTATCAGGGGTAGTGATGGGAATGATGGATGGTTGTGTCTGAACTGAGTCGTGAGCTTTTTCTATTGCTTTAACTTGTTTTAAAAAATCATGAGGACAATCTGATCATTTTGGGTCTATGATTACCAACCGAAGATGACCTGGGATGAGCCCCCATGATACGGGATTCTTCCCACCTTTGCTGGAAATCAAGTAAACCCCCCCAGGTAGTTGTGAATATTGGGCTCTATATGTTCCAATGGAGTTTAGCCACAGCTGCTTAGAACTTCAATTAATGTTTTTTTTCTAAGTCTGAAACCTTGTTCCTAGACTGAACTTGCTGCATGTTGAACGGCTCTCTCCTTGTCAATGTTCTTAATGTTAGCCTGACTTTGACACTCGTATCAATTTCCTACACTTCAGCAAACTTTTGAACCTGAATACAAAAGTCTCATTTTTACCAAAAAAACAAAAACACACACTCTCTCACTGTTGATATGTGTTTCTCTGATGCAGGTTGCACGGTGCATTGAAAGGTCATCCTGGGCTATGAGATTTGGCCATTGGGTTGCTCCCGATTTGGTCACAGGAGGCGAAATGTAACTTAATCTAGAGATAGATTCCAATCGATTAGATTAGCTAGTGAATCTGCGGTGCTGTAGGTCTGTTTCTTGCTTGTAATTAATTGATCATACTAGTGCTATGCTTGGCGGTTGTCTAGTCTATCTGCAGTTCAGCAAGAAACGGTTAAAAACACTCAATGCAGCAGCAGTTCTGCATCTTCCTCTGTTTTTCTGTGGATTTTTTTCTGTGTTCATCGCCATAGACAGGTGCAAACTTGCCTCAATCTAAAGTTGCTACCTCGAGAACTGGTGTTGGATTCACAGGCGCCTTATCTCGACGCGAGTTTGTCCGACAGCCTAGAAGATCTCACCAGAATTGTAATGCCTTACTAGATTCATGCATGCGGATGCAAATAGGAGAGAACCATTTGATCTGCATTTCTCGAGTCCTGAACATGATGCAACAGACAAACCCGGGTTTGACCGCCGCGTTCTGCTTTGCCCGTGCCCTGAGAATGCGGTGAGTTTGTGGGGGGTGGGGGGAAAAGAAACAGGCTGTTTCGATAGCTCCACTTAGCTTGTCAAATGGCCAAGCTCCGCTCGCTTTTCCAGCTAAGGGGGACAAAGAACGTGCGTGCTCACCACCAATCTTTGCGTGCTTATAAACTAATAATGCCCATTAAAAAAAAACACATTAGGAGAAAACCGTCTCAGACCCGTCAATGATACAGTGAATTAGACGTGAGTATGCTCTGGATTCGGTGTTTCGCCATTCGTTTAGACAAAGAAAAGGATACCGACCCAACAAGGACGGGAGGGCAATGCGAGCATCGACACGTTAAATTAAAGATCGTATCTGTGGCGTGCTCGAGCCTCTTAGGCTTTGACCAAACGTGACGAACAGGGCAGACAGCAACGTCTGCTGCGCAAAGCGTCTCTCTCACGTTGTGCGCAAAAAAAGCTGGGAACGAAATGGGACGAAGGCTGAGGAGGCCAAGAGCTGCGAGAACGACAGGAGATGAAACGCCCCGAGACATCTCCTCCGGCGAGCGGCGAGGTTTTTTTGGGTGTCTCGTCGTCGTCTTACCTGGCCGCTCCGGGGTGGGGGTCCACACGGATATGCCAGCGCGAGAGCTCTTTCTCGTCCTGTGATCGCCTCCCAGAAGGACCATCCAACCTCTCGCGCGCGCCGCGACGACGATTTGCACGGACGTGACGCACGTCTCGTGTCATAAGCCCGAGATCGCTTTTTGTTAAGATTAATACCATAAAAAATCCCAAATCAATACATTTGCGATAAATTTATATCCCCAAATTAATATATCTGTAATAAATTTCCCTTCATTAATTTTCCATTAAGTTGGATTAATACAATGAAAAATCATAAATTGATTTACATATGACAAACGGAGTAAAAAACCTTAAACATGTACATTCGTCAACTGCCACGTGTTGACGGAAGGTAAATTTGTCATAGGTGTACAAATTTGAGATTTTTAGTTAATTTGGGGTAAATTTATCATGAGTGTATCAATTTAGAGTTTTTCGTGGTATTAACCTTTTTAGTTTTAACTTGTATCATATACACTTTAATCACGTAATTTAGTAAAAATATGTCGATGGCAAGGAAATTTCTAGTAACACTATATCATATAATATGTGTTTACACATAAGATTTGATGGTATCCGTGAAATTCATGTGAAAGAACATGCTTATTCGATTCGGCGGAAAGATAATGTGCGGGGGTTTCCTCGATCGCCTATCTGATAATGAGAAGTAGTAACGAATTCAAGAAGCATGAAGCCTCGAGTTCCGTTCCCGCTCAATGGAGCCGCTGGATATTTAAAAATGAGCAATTCCTCATGAATTGCCCCCGTCACGACGCGAATGACCTATAGTGTGATCGGATCAAGGAGGTGAAGAACTAAGTCTGGCGCATCAAAACTCGTCTAGGAAGGATGCCATTCCATCGTCCCCACGAAATAAAAATCAATTACCGGACACTAACACTCCCCTTTTCGCTATCTTCTTTACGTTTATACATGTCGCGGTGCAACGTGCAATTCACAATTTGTCAATTTTACACCCGATTTCCCTCCGTATCTTCCGAAAGGAAGAAGACGGCGAGGATCCATCCGTGCCCAATATCCCGCGATTCCGTCTCGTACATTACGGATCACTCCGTCCATCTCGCTCAAGATCCGGATCGGAACCCGCCGGAGCCGCCCTGGCGGCGCCGCCACGGCGCTTCCCCTCGTGTGCGGTCACGCGCCGGGTGGGGGTGCCGGTCGTGGGCCAGGTGATGCGATTGGGGCGTGGTCCCCTTTGCAAATTTTGCGTGGTTTGATTGGCGCCGGTGATTCCGGGTGGGGAGGGAGGGGAGTGGGGTTTTGCGGTGAACGCAGCGGGTAAATGTGGGTCCCCCCCCGACGTGAAATGTCAAAAAGCCCCCCCACCATTATCCCAAATTTTTAGTATTATTTCTTTTCCCCCACTGAGTAAAAAAAACCCTATTGTTTAGATGGTTAATGCTACGAAACGATCCCGAGCCGGTACACCCGTAATAAATTTATCCCAAAATAATTTTTTGACCGCCAAAAGCTATAACCGGTACACTTGTGACAAATTTAAATATTCGTTAAATTGAATTAATATCACGAGAAACCATAAATTAGTAAATCCGTGACAAACGGAAGGATAAAACCCTAAATCGGGTATCATCCAACTCGGCAATTCGACGGTAAAATTTAACGGAAATTAAATTAGGGTAAATTTATCATGGGTGTATCAGATTTGGGGTTTTTTGTGGTCAAAAAATTAATTTGAGGTGAATTTATCACAGATATACTAATTCGAGGATTTTCATGGTATTAACTCATTCTTTAAGCCTTCTAAAAAGGGGATAAAAGAATTGTACGGAGGTGGGATATAATCGATTGGGGAATTCGCACCTCAAGTTACGTGAGATCTCGAGTTCGATTCCTCTTCCGACTCGGCACGACCTGTCGACGATATGGAAGCGTTTGCCCCCGAGGCCTTACTAAGCGCGCCGAGACTTTTTAAATAGGTATAAGCCGACGTGCGCGCGGTAAAGTAAACTATACGCGAATCTCCTAATATCGACTTGCTTCCGGATTGGAAAGGAGGACACGGTCCCGATGCGCAAGAACCCGATGCAAAAAGCAATAAAATTTTGGCTCGCTGCACCGGTGAAAAGGTGGTGTAACAAATTTTTACCAGGTCTACTGACGGTGAAAAGTAAATAAAATTTTTTTTACTTGATCTTTGCTGAAAGAAATCAAGTATGATTCACGTATGATTCACGTAGTCGATCGGCACGAGGCATGACTCTGACCAGCATTCCTCCGCCGGGGAAAAAAAAGTCCACGTGTCAAGTCACCAACCGGGATGCAACAAGAAGCCATTGAATTTTCAAGCAGGCTAATACGTACCACCGGCGTATTGATTGGTGATAAAAGGGGTCATTTGTCTCCCGCGAAATCACGACTTTATGTCGCGAGCGAGCTGTTAAACGGCCATGTTACGTTGCCTAGCTGCAGCATATTTTAAAATGGAGTAACTTCCTGGCTATTACCTACCGTCTTGATGTGGGGGGGGCGGGGGTTGACGAGCTCGCAGATCTCATAACGTCGGGTCATCGGTGTTACATGGGGGGGGGGGGGGTCAGTGAGCCGCTATCGCCGGTCGCACCTCCCATGCTTTCCAACCACGAAAAGGCAACGGCGTCGCCCTAGAGAAAAGAGCACACGACGAGGTCCAAACCGTCACGACAAGAATAGTCATAAAATAAAAATTAGCACAAGACGACGATGATGCTCGCGAAGAGAAAGAACAACTCGGGGTCATCATCGGTCGCGGCACGCGAAAACATCCTCGTAACTTAAGCCGACGTGACGCGCTGTTTCGGGGTGCCGTCGTCGTCGTCGATGACGATAACGTGAGGGTCGGTCCAACAATCTTTCGTTGCTTTGTGAGCAACCCACAAGATTTTCCAGCTGTCACCCACGCACGCCAAAAATAAAAAATAAAAAATAAGAAATATGTTTGTTTTTTTTATTGGGTGTGATGTCTCTGTCAGCACGACATAACAAGAAAACAAAATTGTTGGTATTCGAGAACCGGCAATTTATAATAATAATAATAATAATAATAATTTATTTTTTTATTATTATTATTGTTTTTGTCCAATTCGTTTGTACAAGGAAGAAGGGTGGGGAGGGGGTCGTGATTGACTGAGCTCCGCTTGTCGTCGTGCGCTTCTGCGCTTTGGCCCTCCTTCGATTGACCGGCGCCAGCCTGTGATTTTTTTGACATTAGATTATTATTATTATATGATAAAGTATTATTTTTTATTTATTTATTTTTATTTTATTTTCTTCTATATATATATATATACATAAATAAAAGAGGAGATTAATTGGAAATCCACTAAAACCAACCAATCACAGCTGTTCCTTGATTGGCTGATTGAGTCGGGCCTTTTCGAGATATGGCGTGGTGGTGGGGCGCGTTCCGTATCGTGGACCCACTTTGCTTGATTGGCTCTCTTCTCTCTGTTTTTTTTTTTTTTTTTTTTTTCATTTTTTATTTTTTTATTTTTTTTTTCGTGCCCCCGGAAGAAATAGTTAATGGCACGCATCGAGTGCATTGCTCGAGTTGCGCTTGCAATGTCGTGATTAGGAAACGTGTTAGTACCGCACAAAAAAATCCAAAATTGATATATTCATGACAAGTTTACTCTTCGTTAGTTTCCGTTAAATTTGACCATCAAATTCCTGTGTTTGATGGCACATGGCAGTTGACAGGTGTACCTGTTTGGAATTTTACCTTTCGTTTGTCACAGGTGCACCAGTTTATGGTTTTTTTTATGGTATTAATTCAATTTAACGAAAGGTAAATTTGTCACAAATATACCAGTTTGGAGTTTTCGATAGTAAAAAATTTAGCTTATTATCATAGGTATACCAGTTTAGGATTTTTGGTGGTCAAAAAATTAATTTTTGGTAAATTTGTCGCAGATATACCAGTTTTGGGGTTTTTTTTTAATATTAATCCTTAGGAAATTGGGAAATCATGGTGTAATTTAGATGCTATATGTGACCAGAAATATCTACATAACATGTAATTAAGGATGTCATCATTGACCTTGATCGTGTTGGCATCGTGAATACCGAACAGATCAGCCCGGTTTATGTTTAGGTTGACTTTTTTGACCCATTTTTATGACATGCTTATGTATGTTAATGGAATATCTTAACGCGTTAGTCATCTCGACTTGACACTATGGGTGTGTTTGTTTCACGAAAAATATAACGTTTTTGGAAAATGTTTTCCGGAAAATCATTTTCCAGGAAAATAATTAATTTTTCTTTGTTTGATGATATGTGATCGAAAATGTTTTTTGGTGTTTGGATCTCATTTAGGAAATGATTTCAATTCCATGATTTTATCTTAGGCAAAAAAATAATTTCGAAAATTTTAATATTTTTTTTATTTTTAAAAATAAAAAAGAAAAAGAAAAGAAAGAAAAGAATAAAATATTAAAAAAGTCAAGGGAAACAACTCCGGAAAATGTTTTCATCTTCTTAGATTAGGGAATTCACTTTCCTAATTTTATATATGAATGTTTTCCTTGACCGGAAAGTGTATTCATTTGACTAATCATTGTCGGCGAACCAAACGGGTGAAAGTCCGGAAAACGGGTTTCCAGAAAACACTTTCCCTTAAACAAACGCACCCTATGTTTCGATACAAAAGGATGATGAAGTAGCCCCTGGCTGATGACCAACAAGGACTTGCCCAACAGCTACGGGACATGGGTCGGGTCTCACCCGCCCCACCTCGTGTGTTTATTATAGTTATTAATTTCGACAATGCTCTCATTATTAATAGGATTAATATCACGAAAAACCCTAAAGTGGTACACCTGTAACAAATTTACCCAAAACTAATTTGTTGACCACCAAAAATCCAAAACTGGTACATTTGTGACAAATTTATCCTCCATTAAATTGAACTAATGCAAAAAAAAAATATAACAAACTGGTACACTTAGGACAAATGGAGGGTAAAGCCCCAAAGTGATACATTCGTCAACTGTCATGTGTCATTTAACTAAGCAATTTGATAGTAAAATTTAACGGAAACTAACGGAGGGTGAATTTGTTACAGGTGTACCAGTTTCGGGCTTTTGGTGGTCAAAAATTAATTTTGGGTAAATTCGTCACAGGTGTATCAGTTTGAGGCTTTTCGTGGTAATAACCCTTATTAATATCATTAGATTGCTTATTTTAGGAACGTTTTTTAAACTAAATTTCTATAATAAATCTAAGTAAATGTTATTCCATGTTAACTCGAACAAAAATATAGTACTTGGATTTTCAAAATTATGAGGCGATTGATAATACGTACTTTATTCAGATATTTGACATGAATGTGATATGATACGTTATAAAAAACAAATCACCGACCCTAAATATTACCTTTTTCTATATGTTCCAATTATTTGGTTCATATTCCTTAATCAATGACAATATGGTAATAAAAATTATATAAGTATAGACTTTTATGGCAAGCAATTTTTTGATTTCTTAGTTATATGATCTTATGGATGCGTATGATCTATCAAATCTTCGGAAGATGATCATAGATATATTATCGATCTCATATGGTTTTAGGCCAATACTTTTACCATGTATACATATGTATATAATGTTCGTCCGACATGATGTATCTAGAAAGAAAACTTTATCTAGACTATATACGAAATTGATACCCTTCCTTTTCTTCTGCTCGGAAATGAACATTAATATCCACGGATGGAAATAAGTACACAAATTAGGAAGGTTTCATCGAGAAAAAAAAAGGGGAGGGTGAGGGGCATTGTCAATTTCTTAATTATTGCCAATAGACATGCGGCTATGCTGGTAAATTGATCGGAGGTGGTGACGCTAGTATGACAGATGCGGGGTTCGACTCCGCGCTCTGTAAGAGGCGGAGCAAAAGTTAGAGATACGACACGCCAAAAAAAAAATTCCTTAATTATCCAAAAAACAAAAGAAAAACCAAATTATTGCAGGCTCACAATAGTTACCGTGGAGCCGAAATCACGCACGCCTTGTCCCCTCAACTTCCATTCCTAACCAAAAAAAAAAAAAAAAGACAAAAAAAAAAAAACATGTCAAAGCAGCTCAGCCCAGCTCTGGCTCCCGCAAGGAGGAGAAAAACGGAAAAACGGCCTGGACGACGACCAAAACGGGGCGCGTTTCGGGGGCCCCCCACCCCACCCGCCCCCACACGCCACGTCATCGGAACCGGCCCCCGTGAAGGACATAATGATAGCCCAAAACGACCACAGTACAGGCAGCTTCTATTGCGCTTCGTCCCTCTCTCTCTCTCGATCTCTCTCTCTCTCTCTAAAACCGATGGAATATTTGCAGCTCGCCGGGATCCGCGTCTCTCGATCGCCGCGCCTCCCTCGCCGCCCCGCCACCGCCTCCCTCGCCGCCGCCGCCGCCGCCCGCGCTTAATCGGCCGAGTAAATGCCTCGTCCCTCCTCCCCCTCCCTCCCTCTCCCCTCTCTCCTCTCCGCGTTCTTCTTCTTCTTCTTCTTCTTCGTCGTCGTCGTTTTCCCCTCCGGGACGCGCTTTTGATCTTCGATTTCCTCGGCGCTCGTCCCCCGCCGCCGCCCGCCGCGGCGCGCTGCATTTGGCTCTGGATTTTTTTTCCCGGTGGCCGGGGGAACAATCCCGTCGTTGCTCGCGGGAACGGTCGACGCGCGCCGTCGTGCGAATCGTCGTCGCCGCCGCGGTTTCCCGTCGGCCGTCCGCGCTTTGATCGTCGAATCGGGAGAGTCGCGCGTGGTTTCGTCGGGCATTGGTGTTTCGAGATCTCGGGGATGGCGTTCTCGGGAAATGCCGGGGTCGTTTCGTCAATCTGATAGATCGGCGGCGAGTCGCGCGTGCTAGCTGTTTGATCGTGTTTGTCTTGTTGTTGGTGTTGTAGGAGCTGCTCGTGGGCGGAGAACAACGGAATTTTGAGGAGGCCGGTGGATGTTACCGGGCCCCCCGACCGACCGACCGACCGACCTGACCGTGTGAGAATTTTCGGGAGGAGAGACGGAGGACGATGTCCGCCAGGAGTGAACATCAGACGGTGCCACTCTCAGTGCTGCTCAAGCGCGAATTGGCCAACGAGAAGATCGATAGGCCGGAGATTGTGCACGGGCAGGCTAGCCAGAGCAAGAAAGGGGAGGACTACACGCTGCTCAAGACCGAGTGCCAAAGAATTGTTGGAGATGGGGTCACTACCTATTCTGTTTTCGGCGTATGTGTTTCTTCGTCATCCGTGTGCATTCGCGACGATACATTATTCCGATGCATGCGTTTGCATATTTGATTCTTTCATTTAGCCCGTGTGGGTTGATCTAGGGTGCTTTGTTGTTCCTTTTTTCTACTTCTTTTATAGGTGAAAATCTGCTGTACTAGTCATTGTTCTTGTAAAACGCGCATGAGTCTGATAATAGAAGCAGTATTAAGTAGGAAGATAAGCAGGCAGGACCAAAGGGATGTCGTCTATTGGAAGATGGAACTTTGTCCTCGCCCACAGTCCTGCTTGGTAGCCAACTGAATTTGGTCAATTTCTCTTTTAGCCCGCGAGTTCGGCTTTATGTATCGTTTTGCTTCATATGTGAGGTTCATTGTTAGGTGACAACTATGAATGAGAACTGAACTGAACTTCAAGAGGGAATCCAATTTCTGGGATGTTCTAGTCCATGCTCGCTTCATTTTTTTCCTCGTGCTCTTTATTTTCTTAGGCAGATAAGACCTGAAAGCCACGGAAATACCTTTTATTTTTTTTTTGAACTTTTCATCTTGGCTGATACCTTTTGAGTTTGTATTCTTTTGTTTTGGAAATGGTATTCAGGGTCCATATAGATTCCTGGATTCTTCTTTTATTTGTTGAAACCTGAGAATTGAACAGCTGCTCTAGATGAACAACCATCAAGTTGCTGATTATATCCTTCCGACTTCTCATTTTGCAGCTATTTGATGGACATAATGGGTCTGCCGCTGCTGTCTATTCGAAGGAAAATCTCCTCAATAATGTTTTAGCAGCGATGCCATCAGATCTTAATAGAGATGAATGGGTAACTGCACTGCCGAGAGCCCTTGTGGCAGGCTTTGTCAAGACAGATAAAGACTTGCAAGAGAAAGGTAGGAGTTTCTTCCAATAGTAAATCTAAGTGTTCAACAATCTGTGGAGTCAAGGCCCAATTTGCAATTGTAGTCTAATTTGTCTGCCACAAGGTTTCACCTTATGGTTATTATGTACTGTAGGGTTTTGCTAAGGCGTTATTTTCATGACGGAGATATGATCATGTTATCATCTGTTTGGACTTGCAGAGTGCCGTTTTCTTTTTGTTTTTTGTTCGAGAGATACAATGAGATGGGATATTTACTTTTTGTCCTTATATTGCAGCACAAACTTCAGGAACTACTGTCACCTTTTTAATAATTGAAGGGTGGGTTATAACCGTTGCCTCTGTTGGTGATTCTCGCTGTATACTTGAATCCGCTGAAGGAACTATCTACTATTTATCAGCAGACCATCGGCTTGAGTGCAACGAAGAGGAGTATGTTTAAACAGAACTAAAATTTTTTTTACTGTCATCCATGTTGCTGGAATAATGTACCTATCCTTGCTCGACCTCTGCCTCTTTTTTTTTTTTTTTGTCTAATTTCAATGTCGATGGTATCTTAGGAGGATTCGCATTACTGCAAGTGGAGGTGAAGTGGGTCGGCTTAACACTGGAGGTGGTGCTGAGGTAAGGTCCCTTCGGTCTGTCATTCTTTATTGTGTTTGTGCAATTACCAAAAGCAGTAAACTGAATGCAAGTGTGTCTTTGCATATGTCTTGCTAATATGAAGGCAGCCCACTAATTGGAACTGCAACTATGAAACATCAAATTTGGTGTAAATTGAGATTTTCGTTTTTAGGATTAATATTTCCATATAAGGGGTTCCCCTTATGGACTACTAGCATGCATCGCTTTGAAGGACTCTCTGTAATTAATTTGACTAACCTCATGTACTTCTTCTGTAGATTGGTCCTTTGAGATGTTGGCCTGGTGGCTTGTGTCTTTCCCGATCTATAGGAGATATGGATGTGGGCGAGTTCATTGTTCCTGTTCCTTATGTAAAGCAAGTGAAGGTTTGTTTTTAATAAGAAAAAACTTTTTTTTAACTTTTTCAGTTTAAGGTGTTCTACTGCTCTGGCTGGGTGCTCAATGTTTATTGTCTTTTCTCTGTGCACGCTTGTCCTCCTAATTTTAGCTATTACATAGAATTCTGAGGATTTTCCGTGTAAGAATTCTTTATTTGGTGTAGGTATTGTTGATACTGCTATATTTCCATTCTTATTATATATAGTCATGTGTTTTCGATGCATATGTGGTTGAATTGACTCCACATTGTTCGATCATCAGACATATCTGCTGGGAAGGTGGGTGACTCATTCATAGAAGACTTGAGTTAAAAGAATGCTTTCTTGGAGGATTTAACTTAGCCATGTGAAAGAGGTTTAACTCGTGTTTCATCCATATAATGCAAACAGTTATTCTACAATTGTTCAAGTCCGATTAAAGTACAAAAGATGAGCTAAGAACAAAAGTAATAGATTTGTGAAACCACTACTTAAGGCTCCAACAAACCCTACTGTCGACCACTTATATCTATCACCTATAAGGATTGGCTGAAAATTTAAGTTTCCATCAGCAATAGGAATCTCTCTCTGTAACACACACCCCCCGCCTTGCCCTCAAAGTTGTGGGGATAAAGAGAGGAAGCATCTAACTGTGAGGCTGTCTATGAATGAATGTAATGTTCTCTGTGGATTGGTTGGCTTTGCCACCATTTCATCATGCTTATTGTCGCGACCTTAGGTGTCAAAACTTATAATTAATGAGTTTGAGAACACTTTTATCTCTGTTTTTTGCCCAAAAGACACCATTACCTCATTTTCAGGAAAGGTATTTCACTGAGTTTTTCTCATGATAGAACTATTGTATTTTTTGGCCAATTAATTCATGATGCCATCATTGTTTTCTATTGGCATCACCTTTTCTTTCTCCATAATCCTCTTGTAGACTGAATTCTTGCTTCTTGGGGTGTCCATTTTCAAGCTGTCCTCTTTCCCCTTTACTTCCACTAAACTGTACTATAAAGCATGCTTAGCCTTCTAATTGACCATTATAAAGTATGTGCCATGCATTTTCCATGGTGGTTTTTCATTTTCTTTCTGTCTAAATGAGTTTTGCAGCTATCTACTGCTGGAGGTAGGATAATTATTTCCAGTGACGGTGTTTGGGATGCTTTAAGTGCAGAGGCAGCACTTGATTGTTGTCGTGGGATGCCACCAGATGCTGCCGCTGCGCAGATTGTCAAAGTATGATTGCAGTCCAACTTCCACCAAAAGATTTCTTTACTTATTCTTGTTTAAATTAATTAGTGCTATGTGCCTATTGAACAATTCTAAGTGCTATGTGCCCACAAAAATGATGTTTATCAGCTGATGCTTCCAGTTTCTACTGTACCCACATTTCCAAGGAAAACGTAACTTTTAGTAATCCATACTGCAAAATGATAGTCAGAGGTCAGAATCTGCAACAAGTTTACACGCTGCATGCAAAACCTTTGCATTGATGTAACTTAAACATGAGAAGATTCTGTGTAACTAACATATAATGCCTTTCGAACCATAAAGATAAGGGCTTGTGAAGAGAAGAAAAATTGTCATATTTTCTGTCTGAAACTGGCTCAAAGTTTAGTGGCAACATGGTCTGGATGAATGATTGCAAGTAAGTGTAAATGCAGTCCATACATACTGCAATGTGAACTCAGAAGAGTTCCTCGTTGCACCCTCTCAGTGAATATAAACAAATTATATTTTCTATTATAAATGTTAATGTGACATACACAAGTTACTCTTGTATTATCTGATTCTTGTGATTGTTTTTATCCCAGGCCAGTGACTATATTTGCTCGAGTAAAATTGTTGTACAATAAATATTACCTTTTCTTTTTTGTTTTGATTCGTCAACGGGCTCTCTACTTTTTATCAAATTTTTGGAATTAGGGTCAATTGCAAATACAACCTTGACCTTTGGTGTTAGTTGCAATGTCGCCCCATCTTTTTAATTTTTCCATGGTAAATGTTATGTGACAAGGTTTATATATTTGAAACGGGCAGCCTTCAGATGCTCTAGTGAGGAGATGTGGGTATGAGATGGAGACTTAGGTTAAATGGGAAGAGGGAAGACGTAAAAAGATGTGGAAGGAGATTATAAGAAAAGATATGGACCACTTAGATCTTACGGAAGTCTTGATACAAAAGTAAGTGCAATAGCATTGGAAGAATTCATATGGCTAACCCTACTTAATAGGATACCGTTTAATTTGTTTTTGGTAAATGTTGTGTGGTGAAATTGTATCTGGTATGTGACATAGCTTGATGTACTTTCTATTAGATGTTAACTCACGGTCTCTTTTATTACAGGAATCTTTACATGAAAAAGGACTTCGAGATGATACAACATGCATTGTTATCGATATATTACCACAAGAGAAACCAATGGCTCCTTTGCCACCACCGAAGAAGCCAGGAAAAGGAGTATTCAAGTCTATGTTTCGTAAAAAGTCATCCGAATCATCTTCTCAGATTGATCAAGAATATATTGAGCCAGATGTAGTGGAGGAGTTATATGAGGACGGATCCGCAATGCTCTCAGAAAGGTCTACACCATGAACTACACTTTCAGTCATGACAATATATATTTTTTGACAATGGTTTAGTGGACCACTCTTGTATGCCTAACAGTGATTGCATGATGTATAGATGTTCCTTTGACAGTTAAATGGCCGATGTGACTCTGACTAAGAAATGCTTGTAAATTGCAGGCTAGATACAAAATACCCCCTATGCAACATGTTTAGGCTATTCATGTGTGCTGTATGTCAAGTAGAGCTAAAGCCAGGAGAGGGTATATCCATACATGCTGGTTCATCAAATCCAGGAAAACTGAGACCATGGGATGGACCTTTTCTTTGCTTGAGTTGCCAAGAGAAAAAAGAAGCCATGGAAGGGAGAAGACCATTTGGAGGTACTCTCTCCTTTGCGCTCCTAGCTCTAATTACTGTTCTGACAAATTGCTGGATAGCATTAATGAATCCCTTTTTGTCACATTTTGTTTGAACTTGCTTTCAGATGGGTCATCTAGACATAGTAGCGGAAGTGATTAGCGAGCCCCTTTGACTATGCGAGTGACTGACAGATGTCCGAAAGTATATGCTAAATGGGAGATGAGCTAACTTCCTTCAGTATCACTTTGAGCGTTCACCTGGTGAATTTTGAATTTTACTTCCGAGCTCATTGGGAGCTCAGTGTAAGGTTCCAAGGACCAAATCAGAAGACCAAGAGTGTTGATAGTTTCTTGAATATCCAGTTTCTGACTTCAAAACCAAGGGACGAACGATACCAGCCTCTTTGCACAGTATGTGGACAGCTGTCATAAGTTTGGCTGTCCTAATGACATGTCAGAGGTAATTAATTTTTTGATTTTGAATTCATTCTGCTGTACACGGTTTCTTCCAATTGTAGAGCTAACATTCAAGTTTACCCATCTCCACTGTAATATCAACGTAAAGGGGGCTTGATGAGGGTTCATATGCCCAGTCGGCTTCCTGAATGATTGGTGTTTTGTTCTTCTTTGAGAAGTAGGGAAGTCAGTTTGTGGAATAGATATGGGGGGAATTGATATTTCCCAGCAAGAGGCGCTTCTGTATGTACTTTGTTGGGTAGTGACATTTTTTCATTGAATAGAAATCAGGCTGTTGAAGGTCTCTCGTCCATTCTACTAATGCTGCTTCTGTTGCTTGGCCAGTTAGCTTGAGGGTTATGGGCATCTAAATTCATGAAATTTGTTTATGCATTGTTCAATCCAAAATTGATGAACTCGATTCCATCAAAGCACGTTTATCATCTGTTATTTTCCCCATTTTACTGTCCTCTCTTCATGTAATACAGCTTCTCTCAATCTGGGAAGAGCATTTATCGAACACTACTAGTAATGTTGTCCGTCGCCTAGCATCTGTATCGTAGGGGTGTCAGAACCGAACCGAAAATTTGATGCATTTCGGTTCGGTTCGGTTTTCAGTTCAGATAACCATTCTTTTTTTTTGAATTCGGTCTAGTTCAGTTCGGTTCGATTCGGTTCGGATCGAACAGAACTAAAAAAATAACTCCGGTTTTTACCCTAAAAGTGTGTATCCCCTCTCTCTGGCTCAAATCCCCTCTCCATCGTCAAGTTCCCGGCGGCCAGGTGGCCGCTCAGCCTCGGCGCCACTGCGATCCTCGCCGGCACCACCTTCATCGTCACGTCACGCACCTCGTCCGCCGCGCCGCCGCCCTCCCCGCCGGGATCTTGCCTTTGCCAACGACCTCCCCGCCGTACGATATCTCCGTCGCGGAGCCGCTGTACACTGTACTGGAAGGACGCGACGTTCGGGTTCTTGACGGAGATGTCAGCGACGGCGGTGATGTTGGCGCCGGCGAGCGCCGTCCCGTTCGAGACCAGCTGGGCAAGCTAGGGGATCTGGACCCGGTTCATCCGGACATTCGGGTCCCTGACGTGGCAGACGGTGAAGATGAGGGGGAGGGCAACGACCTGCGCATTGAGGTTAGGGTTTGCGGCTGTTCTAAACTCCACCGAGCAAGAAATTCTCGTTCCGATTCGCGTTGTTGCCTCCATTTTCGTGCTTCTCGTCGTTGTTTGAGATCAGCCGAGATCAATTCTAGATGGGCTTGTTTTGTTTCTTGCAAGCTGGTTCCAAATTGTGTGCTGGAACGAGAGAATTTCAGCTGCTTCTGGGTGAATGCCGGAGAAGCGGGTTCTGCGTGCGGGGAGTTGCCGGCCAGGTGCCTGTGGAAATGCTTGGCTGACGCATCTCTAGGCGTGGATATTGTGTGCAGAAAAAACCGAAAATTGAACCGAACCAAACCGAACCGAACTGGTTTTTTGGTTCGGTTCATATTCAGTTTGAGCGAGATTCGGTTCGGTTCAAGGGTGCGTACCTAACGGTTCGGTTTTTCGAGAAAACCGAACCAAACCGAACCGTTTACACCCCTGCTGTATCGTTTGCGTGCCTGATAACGGAGTGTCAGAGTGGCATTTCCACTGACAACAATTAGGAATTAGGAAGGCTCAATATCGAGTAACATCTACGTATGCTATCCGCTTCAAAAGATTGATCATATAGTAGGAAAATCTTTTGTTCCCTTTCAGATGTGAAACAGGATTAATAAGCCCCTGAATTGGCTCGTGAAACATCGACATTCAACGACTAATTCTTGGCGGCAGGCGCTCTTTCAACTGCCACGAACCATGCTACGATATATCTCGAAATCGTTAACACTGTTCCGTTGCTTCTGATTGGGGGATTTATCTCCCAACAATATATCGAGCATCACATCCGCTCCACGACCAACTATAATCTATCGTATCACCCCCTCCCTCGTATGTTGTCTATGCTCTTTCTTTTCGCGTTCCACACTTTACAGGACGGTGAGAAAAGTCCAATGTTAAAAGTTCGAGGGTCACTTTGATGTGTTTGTTTGGTGGTTTCCTATTATGGTCCGCCTCAGTTTCAAGATGGAACGACTCGAGTGGCTCACTGATGAAGTTGGAAAAAAGATGGAGGAAAAATCTCACCATCTTTTCCACGGCAACAAGTGCCTCCATGATTGGAGTTATGCTGACCCTGCTTTGACTTCGGGAGCAAAAGTTTCCTCCGTGCTTTCGATGCGTTACCATTACACACGTGCATGGCCGGGGCCACCATCTGACCTAACATCAAGATTTCCCCGTCTTTCATGCGCTTTAAAGTCCATTCAAATCCAAAGCGCTTCTTGTTTTCTTCCTCGCAGGAATGGACGGACCCTGGACATGTTCCAGACCCTCACGGCATTTCGTTTCCCTTCCTGTTGATGTGTAGACTTCTCGAGTATGAACGCAGATAGCTACAGCTTCTGTTGCCCTTTCGCGAGCAGGTCGTCATGATTCAGTGACCGATCCTCCTCGCTGAGGATAAGGATGGAACCTTTTTGACAAATGGTGACGACATTTGCTTAAGTGGGAGATCTGTTTAGCTCCATAAGGTCCATTAAGTTTAGAAAAAACTTCTCTTCCTGTGGATCATGGACCCTTTGCATTATCTCTCTCGTTGACAAAACACGGGTCGGCACAGTGCGCGAAAGCGCCTTTTTATCGGCATGATTGCGATCCTCTCGTGTGGAAATTCACGGAAACGGCAAGAGGGGCGTCTCTATTCTCGCCCGCGCTTTTGTCAAAGATTCCTCTTGAAACGTGTGCTGCTGCAACCTGCACATCTCTGTCTCTGTGGCCCTGACATTCTCGCAAGATTAGCTCGTGCGATAAGACACATACCTGATGCACTACCGAGTCACCTTCTTCGACAGTCCGAGCAAAACTTTTCAAGTCAATTTTGGATCTTTTTGCGATCTGAGTTTCCCGAAATCAGTACCAACCTGGCTTGCAGCTTGAGGACCCACCTTCATCTAAATCGTGCAACTTTCAACATCCTTTGATCTCGAAGTGCTGCGATAAGTCTACTGACATCGTTCCACCAAAAGAATGGTACAATAATAAGCTCGTTACGTGTTGCATTCTTGCATCTCTTTTGTATTAAAGTGTCTTATTCTATGACTGTATTCGAAAGGTTTCTCTCTCTCTCTCTCAGTTGCATAATATAACATAAGAGACCCCGCAAGAATCTCTACTAGAGTGGTCTCAAGTTATGGAAATCCATGAACAGCAAAACCTGAAAGCAAGAAAAGGGAGACCACAATCACAACAACACTCACCAACGTCCGCTACTATATTGTCATCATCTTCGTCGCCTTCCTCACCATCATCTTCTCCTGAGTTCTCCTTTGCAATCTCTCTAAGCCCTTCCTCGACCAGAGTCCCCCGTGGAGCCTCAGTGGCAGTCGACTTATCACCGGCAGATGACATTTTCTTCCATGGCCACTTGCTTCCTCTTCATCTCCTCTCTCCACTTACCTCGCCGCCGCGTCCCGCAAGCCCTTTCAACCATTTGGTTTACCCTGTCGGGGAATCGGATGATCGGAGCACCATCGGAGGCAGTAATACTTCCAGCGGCAGCGAGAGCACGGTCATCAGCGGAGAGAAAACTCAGTGGACCAAGATTAAAGGCGTGATGCAGAGGAGGAAGAAATTCTTGTCCTTCTTTTCATTCGTATCGTTGAGGTCGGCAAAAGGACATAAATCTGGAGAAGATAGAGATAGCAAGGAGAAGAGAAAGAGATGGTTAAAGCTTGATCATCTCAGAAAGGCCTTGAAGAGGGAATCCAGAATGACCGATTCGCTTTTGCTGGGAGAGAGCAAAGAAGATATTGGGTTCGATCCGGAGCCTGACACGTTTTCAGGGAGTTCAAGCTTTACGAATATGCAAGCGAGTTTCTCTGTCCCGGGATCGATGATGGCATCCCCAGAAAATTATGGTCTTCGCCTTGTTGCGAAGACGGAAACTGATCGTAGCACCATGGAAGAGTTGCAGGCGGCGATTCAAGCGGCAATTGCTCATTGCAAAAGCTCCATGGCCCTGGAAGAAAAGCACAATACCTGATATTGTGCTTGGACATGTCAAAAATCGCTGTGTCGAGCTCAACTAAGTTCACCTCCTCTCGTTCTTGGTAGAAGGAGGCCATACATGTGTAAATTCGGAGATTCGCTAAGGGAGTACTTCCCCCTCGTGTTCTAGTCTTAAGCAGGTCATGTCTATATTTGTGCTACTTGATTTGAAAAGTTAGGGCAGCATATTAGATTGGCTAACGCGTCGGCGTTCCAAAGTGGATTCCTAAGTTGCACTAGTTTTAATCCATTTCCATACGATGTAAATCAAGCAAGTTTGAGATTCAAGATCGTTGTTGGGAGTTTGGTTATCGTGGGCGTTCGGTTAAGTGCTAAATAGTTTCACAGGATTTAGTATTCCACGAAAATAGAAGTACCTTAACATAGGCATAGTACAATAGGATTTAGGATCGAACCTCTCCGCTACTGTACCTATGTAAGACATGTACTCCGTTTGTTTCGTGGAAAATCAAGCATTGACTTATGCTCTCTTGTTGTTTCGGACTTTGCGGTTGCAGAGGTGAAGATGGTGACAGTGCATCGTAGTACTTACGTGAGAATGAGATCATACTGCGTCTCTTCTTTTCAGGAGATCTTGATTGGTATTCCTCCACTTGAAACAATTTTAGTGCAGTCAATATAAAGAATTCTCCTTAGGGACTAGATTGAAAAGATTTAAGAAAGCCGGGACAATTCTAGAATTTCATTTTTCTTATAGAGGAAAAATTGAGAAAAAACAACTTTAAGAACCAAACAGGATATTTTGACGGAATATTCCTAATTTTTAACACACCTTAATAGTCGTAAGCTAGATCTGTCCCAAAGGAGAAAAGCTTGAGAGTTCTTAATTATCGAACAAACCCTTAACTAAATTATGATAAAAAAAAAAGATTATTCAAGTATTAACAGAATAATAAGCTTTCATTTTATGTTTTATTGTTACAAGTTAAAGAATTCCATGACTTTTTTAAGTTATTTTAAATTTTTTGCATAATGCTCTAATGATAAATATTTTCGTTTTTACCTTAATTTTAAATCAAGGAGAGTAGTTTATTATAACGAGTAATACTTTTGTAATAATCTGTAGTTTAGTATGTTACTTGCAATTAAGAATCATATTGAACTAAGCGCATATGTCATATCGTCCTGTCGTATGCCCTGCTAAAATTTCCAAGGGGGCGGGCAATCCGCGAAGAAAAATTGCTAATGTTTCGAATAGACCGAACCAAATCATAAGCCCTGATGGCTCGCACGCTCGTCCTGCTCAAGCCTAATTCGAGCCTCAAGGGCTCTAACACATTTTGGACGGGCCTGGGTAAATGCATTTGGTGGGAAGAAACCGATTCGTCCCTATTGGGCCCAAGTAATGCTCGACCCACCCTAAAGATTCATATATAAAACTTTAAGATGGGCCTAGCTTGGGCAAACATTTAGGGGTGGACCTAGCTTGGGCCTTTTCGGACCTGCCCAATGATTACCTTCATCTGCGGGCATGGATTCCCTTGTCCCGTGTTCATCGGGTTAATTAAAAAAAAAAAAAGCACCAACTTTAGGTCGAGGGACGATTTTGGCCCGAACTTTTTTCTGTCCCATAAAAAAGCATCAACTTTAGGTCGAGAGACAATTATGGCCCGAACTTTTTTTTTGTCCCGTAAAAAAGCACCAGCTTTAGGTCGATGGACAATTCTGGCCCGAACTTTTTTTTTTCCTCGTAAAAAAGCACAAACTTTCACTTAAATCCCAAATCTGGCCCTTATTGACTTAAAACAATTGATTTTCCAACTTGACTATTTCACCTTAGCAATAGATCCACGTGACTTGCTGACTGGATTTAAAGCATTATTCATTGTCTTATTCTCTGAACCACAGCTTGAAGAATAACGGTGAAACTATTCGTCTCCTTCACTTCACCAGCAAGTCAAAAATATCTCCAGATTGAATCTTTCTGGCCAAACTTCGTCGTTTTGTCGTAATCTGAAGCTGTAGACCACCGTCCGTCGACAGACGCCATGTAAGAGATTCACCAGGCTCACCACCATAACTTTTTTTCTCAAACAAGGGTAACTTCAGACAGAAAATTAATGGGGGGCCAAATTTGGGATTTAAATGAAAGTTGGTGCTTTTTTACGAGACAAAAAAAGTTCGGGCCAGAATTGTCCCTCGACCTAAAGTTGGTGCTTTTTTATGGAACAAAAAAAAGTTTGGGTCAGAATTGTCCCTCGACCTAAAATTGGTGCTTTTTTTTGGAATTAACCTCGTGTTCATCCTTACGAAACTATCCTTATTTAGGGATGACACCTTCCATTCTGTACGTGTCTCATTTCGATACTTTGTTCCAAACCGTCATTTTAAATAATTAAGATTATATATTAATTTGCGACTAAAATATCAATAGTTAAGATTTATTATGACGGCAATATAGATATCAAGTGGAGGACTTTTGGCCCCCCGAAAATTTGACGAGCGAAAGATTGGGAAAGCACGGTGAGCGCCGCGACCTTTTTACGACATTTTATCGTGTGAGGCACCCGACACTCGTGATACAACATTCAAATAGAACCATAACTCTCGCTCGTTTTGTGTGAATCCGTCGTCGCTGCGGATGTCCCGAGATTTGTGGCCCATCTAGTACCTATGACTAAAGGCGTGAAACCTAACAAGGCTGAGCTTCAAGGTGATGCTGACATGCTTTTTTACACGTTCTTGCTCTTTATAGCCTTCGATCAACCTAAAAGGGAAAATGACACAAATAGTTCCTGAATTTTGGCCCAATGTGCATTTTGGTCCCTGAACTTTTAATTTATTCAATGTAGTCCCTAAACTTTAATCTAATGTGCAATGTGGTCCCTAAACTTTTAATTTGTTCATTGTCATCCCTGAACTTTTAGTACATGTTCAATTCAGTTTCTGAACTATATGAAAATGTTCAATGCAGTCCTTTCCATTAATTCAAGTTCAGGGACTACATTGAACATTTTCATATAGTTCAGGGACTAAATTGAACATGTACCAAAAGTTCAAGGATGACATTGAACAAATTAAAAGTTTAGAGACCACATTGAACATTAACTTAAAGTTCAGGGACTACATTGAACAAATTAAAAGTTCAGGGACCAAATTGCACATTGAGCCAAAATTCAGGGACTGTTTGTGTCATTATCCCTACCTAAAAAACCTACACGTACGAAAGCGAGACCTTGCCAAACAGCATCCCACGCCGCTCCATTTTTCACCCTGCCACCCCAGACGCGGGGAGGCTAGTATACCCGCCTACTCGACGATAACTAGCTGAAGCCGACGTGAAATCTACCTTTCTCCACCCAAGGCCTTCTTAAGTTTCCTCTCGATATTTTTCTTCCCGGAAGGAGAGAGGGAATACGGAAAGAATTTACAAGAAGATCTTTCCACCTTACCGGAGAATCCCTTCATTTGTTTCTGTTCGAGCCTTTTAAGGATATGTTCGGATCCAATCGTTTGGTACGCATTATTATTACAAACGCATTAAAAATCCTACATGGGCTGACCTACTTTTTCCCCACACGTTTCTCTCTCTCTCCTTCACAACCTCGGGTCAACCTTAAAAAAAAAAAAACCTAACACAGAACGAAAGCGAGAGACCTTACCAATTTACCATTACCAAAGCCGCATCGCACGCCGCTCCATTTTCAAATTTTCAAACCTCCCGCTCTTCTCACACATTCCTCTCTCTCTCTCTCTCTCTCTCTCTCTCGCGCGCGCGCTAAGCTCATCTCTTTCTTCGTTGAATCGACGAAGCAGTCAGGACAACCGAAAAGATGGGCGCCGGCCAGAGCCGCGGAGATCTTGATCTCTCCGACTCCGACTCCGAGGACGCCCGGAGCCGGCACGGATCCGACCGAGAAGACGACGCCTACGAGGACGCGAGGGAGCAATCCTCCGGGGACCGCGCGCCGGCGAGGTCACCGTCGTCCTCGCTCGACGACGTCGAGGCCAGGCTCAAGGCCCTCAAGCTCAAGTACTCGTCCCCCTCCTCCTCCTCCTCGGCGGCGAAGAAGAAGCAGCCCAATCTCGAGAACGCCGTGAAGCTCTACCTCCACATCGGCGGCAACACGCCGAAGGCCAAATGGGTCATCTCCGAAAAGCTCGCTTGTTACAGGTTCGCGAGGACTAGCCGCGAGGGCGAGAGCGATGGCGAGGAGGAGGAGGAGGAGGACGAGGAAGATGATGGGGGAGAGGGTTGGTGGGTTTTGAAGATTGGGTCTAAGGTCAGGGCAAGAGTTGGCGCCGGGATGCAGTTGAAGTATTTCGGGGACCAGCGGCGGGTCGATTTTGTCGCGGGGGGTGTTTGGGCGGTGAAGTTCTTTAGCAATGAGGATTATAGGGCTTTTATGGGTAGGTACCAGGATTGTCTGTTTGAGAATACTTATGGGTACGAGGCGACGGAAGAGAACAGGGTCAAGGTGTACGGGAAGGATTTCATGGGATGGGCTAAGCCTGAAGCGGCGGATGATTCGATGTGGGAGGATGCGGAGGATAGTCTGTCGAGGAGCCCGGGGTCGGCGACTCCGGTTAGGCCGAGTCAGGATCTGAGGGAGGAATTCGAGGAGGCCGCGAATGGGGGGATACAGAGCTTGGCATTGGGTGCGCTAGATAATAGTTTCCTGGTGGGCGATTCGGGTATTCAGGTGGTTAAGAATTTCAGCCACGGAATCCATGGAAAAGGTGTTTTCGTCAATTTCGATAGCGGGAGTAGTCATAGGAATGGATTAAGTATGACCTATTCCACGCCAAAGAAGGCTCTTCTTATGAAGGCTGAGACTAATATGCTTTTGATGAGTCCAATTAATGAAGGGAAGCCCCATGCTAGGGGCATACATCAGCTTGATATCGAGACTGGGAAGATTGTTTCAGACTGGAGGTTTGAGAAGGATGGTACTGATATTACCATGAGAGATATTGTAAATGATAGTAAGGGGGCTCAGTTAGATCCCACGGGGTCAACATTCTTGGGTCTCGATGATAACAGGCTTTGTAGGTGGGACATGCGAGATCGGAAAGGTTTGGTTCAGAATCTTGCTGATGCAAATACTCCTGTTTTGAACTGGACACAAGGGCATCAGTTCTCCAGAGGAACAAACTTTCAATGCTTTGCCACTACTGGTGATGGTTCCATTGCCGTCGGCTCTCTTGATGGGAAGATCAGGTTGTACTCAATCAATTCGATGAGACAGGCAAAGACTGCTTTCCCTGGCCTTGGCTCGCCTATTACTCACGTGGATGTAACTTTTGATGGAAAGTGGATTTTGGGCACGACTGACACATATCTGATTCTCATATGCACTCTCTTCACTGACAAGGATGGCAAAACAAAGACTGGTTTTAATGGTCGAATGGGAAATAGAATCTCTGCTCCGCGATTGTTGAAGCTGACTCCTTTGGATTCACATTTAGCTGGAGCTGATAATAAGTTCCGTGGCGGTCAGTTTTCATGGGTACGTTTAATGTCCCCTATGTTTTTTGTGCCACCATTTAATTTGCATATAAGCTGCTAATCTGTCATGCCGGCGTCCTTTACATTTTGTTTATGCGTCACATCTTACAAAAAAAAAAAAAACAGTTAAGTTGTTGCAATCTTTGATTGATAATTTGTGGATCGACGTTGTGCCAGTTCCTAGGACTCATAATATGCTGTTTAGTGCTTCAGTGGTTATAATATATGTGCCCATTTTTTTAAGTTATTAATTTTGATGCCGGTATACATTGACATATTAGATGCGTACAGTCTTGTAATTTGGGTTGGACTTTTGAGGTTTGAGTTCATACTGTTTTATGCTCAGGTTCTTACTCGCAGCAGTATCGTGATTGTCCTTTTTGAGACAATATCCACATTATGAAAATCTAGCTGATTGTTTGTTGTATTCGGGTTTGGTGAATGCGGATGGATCTACTTGAATGTTCTAGCTTGTGCATCTTCATGAGATAAGTCAATTAATACAGTTTTAATGAACCTTATGGTTGTTTGTTTAGAGATTCTGTTAGTGCTTAATTGGAAGAATGTGAGGTTTAGTATTGACCAGAAATTTGACAACTCTAGTAAGTGCTCACATCTGGCGCATCTTCAGAGGCTTCTAAGATTGAAGAAGAAGATCTCCTATTCATCGCAGGAAGTACATGCATTATCCTTTAAGATTCTCTTCTGTTAAAGATTTTCTAGAAGATTCAATGCTAGATTTCTGTTGGTTATGGATATTCTGTGACGGATATGTTATATTGAAGGGTTGCCATTAGAATGCCGTGAGATGACATTGATAATCTCTATGAAGTAATCAGTACCTCGGGCTTCCAGTTTCATCTACAAAATTTTGATCCAAATTTGGTTTGGCCACTAAATCCTTTATTTTCTTTTATTACTTACTATGTCACGAGTGTTTTTAATGGAAGGCTACATTAGATGCCTTTGAGTCAATATTCTTCAAAGTCATGAATAGTTTTGTCAATTTCATGGTGCAATTGAATAGCATCTCTGCATCTGCTCATTCATCAGACAAATGATAAAGTGTGATCCTATTGCCAAGATTTTGAACTGATGTTTCCAAGTCGGGGATGTTAGTTTTCATTTTCTCTAAACTCTTCGGGCTGTTACTCATGCATTATCAAGCCATGCAGAATGCGCAATCTTATTTTTCTTAAAATGTTTTGGGTATTATAAAGCTCTGCATTTTCTCCAATTTCTTTTTCGAAGTACATGTCATTTCTCTTGCTTGTGCAAACAACATGGTGTAAGAAATCTGGCTGTTATTGTAAGCATCTCACAGAAGAGATAGCTATCTCAGCGAGTGATTCGCTATAAAAGGACTGATTGCTCTAACCATGGCGTTTTATACAAAAAAATGGCCAGGTCACTGAGAATGGGAAGCAGGAGCGTCATCTGGTTGCCACCGTGGGGAAATTTAGCGTGATATGGAACTTCCAACAGGTGAAAAATGGCTCTCACGAGTGTTATCGTCATCAAGAAGGCCTGAAGAGCTGCTATTGCTATAAAATAGTCCCTAAAGATGAGTCCATAGTCGATAGTCGTTTTATGCATGACAAGTTTGCAGTCACAGACTCTCCCGAGGCTCCTCTGGTTATTGCAACTCCGCTAAAAGTCAGCTCATTTAGCATATCCAGTCGTCGCTGATAAGGCAAGGCGTTGACTCTTGCTTAGTCTCTCTATGTTTTTTCATCTTTTTGTCGCTAGGTTTAAAATGTACTACTTTAAATAGTTCAGTAGGTGATTTGCTGAAAGTGTAGTTCTTTCACTTTGATTTGTCGTACTCCAAATATGGTACCTGTTTGACTGCAACAATATATCATTGTGGAAGTCATAGCAGTACTGCACTTTGTTAGTGTTAGTGGTGGAATGAAAGATGCTAAGGAACTGCTATTTCATTAGCATAAGTACTCTTGATGTTACTTGTGGCTGCCTCTTTTAGTTGTTTTATCTTGTTTCTGTCCCCTTCTCGAAGGTTTTTGGACAATAGTAAGTTTTGCTAGCAATTACCTTGCCAATAAGAAATTAATGAACAAGCCCTGTTTGGCATTGTTTTATCTTTGGTGTATCAAGACGTTTGTGTTTTCGCAAGAGATCTACTTGATGAAAGTCCTCTCTAAACTGAGACAAATGGAACCCTACCCATCATATGAGGAGCACCTACATGAGTCTAGACAATGAATCAATTTAAGTTCGTCTTCTGTGAGAAGATCGAAAATGTATAATTTCAAATGTGCCAAAGCCATTTGCCAGATTCATTCTAGCCGAGCGAGCCAAATTTTTTATTTTATGCCCTATCCAGGCGAACAATGTGGATGAGATACGACCAATTTGACTCAGCAGGCTAAGACTCCTAAGAAACTGATTCCAGCAATTCACAACTCCAAGTGGTGCTAAATCACAATATAGACAGGACTAAAGCTGTGGTATGCATCTCTTTTGCCAACCAGATATCAGATATAATCTGATTGCTTATTACAACACAACCACCTGTCGCAAATAAGTCCTGTGGAGGCCAAGGTATATCTATTTACTGTGTAGTGATATGCAGTTAACATCTAAATTCAAGAGGTCTCCCTAGTAAAATTGCCCGCCTGAACTGAAAGTCACAAAAAGAAAAGATGTACCAGAGGAGTATTATGATGACTTGGATGAGTGTGCCTTTCTTCTGCCCAAAAACAGTAGTAACCGTGGAAAGAGCGATCTTTTCTTTTTCTTCACAGCCTTTACTTCGAGGGAGGATTCAGGCTCGGTGCTACTCCCATGCACATATGGCGATGGACTTGGCATATAGTTGGCGTGAACAGCTGGTTCAGGTATCCTTATAAAGTTACGGGACTCTCTCATCTCTTCGAAACCATTTATTGTGGTTGATACTCCTTGATTTGGTTCACTTCCCTTGCGTCGATTTTCATGTTCAGCCCTCCACTTCCTCAGTTCCTGTTCTATGCTCAACTTTCCTTCCTGGGCCTTCTCGGCCTTGTCCATGGCGTCTCGTAACACTTCCTTCCTCTTAGTCTTCTCGTCATTCACTTCTTCCAACATCTCCAAGCTTTGCATTTCCGACTCCTTGGCCACTTCGATTTGGGAAATAGCAGCTACCACTCTCATGTTCGCCAGCTCCTCTGCCTCGTGCGCCCGTCTGCTGAGTTCGTAGTACTCCTCGAGAGAAACTGTTATCCTTGGGGATTCATCCACACCATCGCTGCTCTGAGCCAATTTGCTCTCTTGCAACGCTTTAATGGCAGATAGTGCCAATTTCTCTGAAGCTTTGGCAGCCTCAATCTCTTTTAGAACAGCTTGTAATCGACTTTCCGTCGTTGTTGCCCCAGCTTTCGCTAGCTCCGCCTCTTCCTTGGCCTTGTTCATCTCTTCATGAGCCAGCAGAGCGAGCCACTTGGCCTGATCGGCCTCTTGCGCTGCTTTCTGTAATTGCTTGGGAAGCTCCACCATCTTCTGTCGGGCTTCCTCCTCCTTTTCCTTGAGTTTAGATATTTCTGACCTGGTTCGGTCCAACTCTGCCTTGAGGGATGCAACAGCCACTGCTGCCATTTCTTCTCTCTGTCTAATGTTCGCAAGATCTGATTTTTCGCTTTCCATCTCCGATTCCAATGCCGCAGCAGCGATTTTCAAGCAGTTCACTTCCACAATAGCTTTCTCCAAGTTAAGCTTCACCTCCTCAAGTTCTTTCTCCGCAGAAGCAACCGCTGCTTGCAAATTGGCATGAGTTCTATTGTCCCCCTCCACCAAATCTCCTCTTGCTTGTGCTTCCATTTCTTGCTTCAATTTCGACTCCATGTATGCTGCCAGTTCAGCTTTCAAATCCAGGAGAAAGGCTGAGGCAACGTCGAGCTTTGACTTAAGATCATTAGCTGTCTGAACTTGATGGCTCAGATTCTGGAGTTCCTGTTCTGCCTCTTTTAGTCCTCTCTCCCAACTAAGACAATCTTGTTCTTTGGCCATAGCGGCTCCTATGCGTTTTTCCTCCGCCTCTAGATGGGTGGCTTGTGCAGACTCTAAGGACTCCTTTGTGGTAATTAGCTCAATAGTGAGATCCTCCACCATCTTCTCCACTTCCTTGGACATGAGAGCCGCCTCTTCAGCTTTCTTTACGGCTATGTCTCTCTCCTCTACCAAAGAACTATATTCCTTTGCGAGGGCTTCTAACTCTTCCCTCACGGATTGTAGCTCTGAAACTGCGGCTGTGTGTCTAGCTTTAGCTACTTCCACTTGTGCCTTGGCAGCATAGCTAGCTTCCTCGGCAATCCCTTGTTCCATCTCTTCGACCCTGAGCAAAGCAAGCTCCGAGTCTTGCCTTGCCTGATACTCTTCGGTTTGTGCCCTCTCCAGGTTGAGCTTTAATTCTTCAACGAGTCTCTTACTGTTGTCCAGATCCTTTAGGACATGCAGTTTTTCCTCCTCGGCAAGTTCTGACCGTTTCCTGTATATGGGGATCTCCTCCTGTGCCTTCTCGAGTTCTTCTTCGACAAACTGGCGTCTCTGCATCACAAGAATTAAATGATGGGAATTATTGCAGCTGTGGATTTAAATGAGGCTCCAGTGAACAGAATTTAATTATCTATGAGAGTATTAGAGAACGGAAAAAAAGAAAAAGAAGACACGGCCCTCTTAAAGCCAACAGAGACACAAATTGTATTTGCATTGAAACTAAATTGTACAAATCTTCTCCTCTGAAAAAGAATCCAGACTAGCACAGAATACCACATAGCGTCTATGTGCCATCATATGAAGAGCTAATCCATGTGGAAGTGTCGATATAAAAAGTCTCACCACAGATATCTCACATGGCCAAGCAAATAATTGAAAGGAAGGAAGCAACTATAATTATGCAATGTAGCTTGAAGAAAATTTTTCTCCGCGGTTATAGCATATAGTCATACGGAAGATGAAAATGAGGAGCTCTACAATAATGCAAAAGTTTCAAGTACCTCCACGGCTTTGATCTTATGAGCTTTCCAATCGAGAATTCCTCCAAACTTGGAAACTGCTTCTTTCACTGATTCAAATGGAGCAGCCGTATCGATAAGGCCTCTGCCTTCTTCAACTCTTGTAACATTTTCCGAAGTATCGACAAATTCCGACGTGTCACCAATGGCACTCCTCACATCCTGAGCGGGAAAAGAGACATCATTGGAAGCTATCGAATGGCGTTCTCCTTCAGATCCTTCCATTTCAAAAGTAGGGTTCATTCTCAAGTTGTGGACTGGAATGCAGTCGAGTGCCATTAAGTTGCTGTTTGAAGATTTCTCTCCATTAGAGGGATCTGTTACTTCTCCAGTATTAGGATCCTCTGCAACTGCACGAGGATCATCATGCTTAGTTTCATACATTGGATGAATTTCATCTCCTCCCATGATGAGGTCCTGTGGAGCGCCATCAAAATCGGTTTGTGCGCCACCAGTTGTTCTAGCTTCTACGAAGATGCCTTCCTGGTCAAATTTTGCTTCATCAGCTTTAACTGGAGGGCTTGAAGCAGAGCCGCTTGCTGAATGTTGACTATGTCCTGAGGTATTGTCATCTGAACCATTGCGGACCAGAAGGTTCTCAACGTTTTCCAACGTTGGCATATTAGGGTCAGATTCCACTTTCCTCTCCGCATTTGGTTCCTCTTGTGCTTCAGTGTCCAAATGGTCATTCTTGGTGGATGGTTTGGACTCAGCCTTAGGTGAAGGCATCTTGTCGGCGACTTCTTCCATTCAAACAGAGCAGCCTTGCGGGAAAATGTGCCTATCGAATTATATGGAACCAGCAGTTGAAATTGTCAGGCGAGAATCAAAATATGGTTAGGCGAGATTAAATGAGGCAGTTCTGGAATGGGCACGATGATAATGATTAATCTCAGACGAATTCTGGAAAGTCCAAATGATTGGTCTCCCAGGGAAGTTGTATTATGGCCATTTGTCAGTTTATGCTCATTGATTAGTGGCTCCTAAATGCCTGATAAACGCACAAGTTCAACAGCCCAACAAATCCTTTATCCTAACATGTCAAATCGATCAAATCCCTGCTTTTGAAGCCTATCACTGCAAATGTTTTTCGTTTGGTCAACTGTTACTGCAAATGTTTGAATGCCTAGATCTGTAGAGCACTTGGAAGTCGTCTCTAATTCTTCCTGTTTAAATTCCTCAATCTGCAATCTTTAATATCTCCTCACCGCAAGTACGCATGTATAAGCACATAAGAAGAAAAAGTCTCAAGAGCAGAGTCTTTATTCGAATTGTCAAGACGTAAATACCGACTAAGCAATTTAGCTTATCCTGAAGATGGCATCGTAAGAGCACTTGACAGATGCAGTATCTTAAAAAGTTTCAAGCCACCTTTAGCCAGAACTCTTTCTTCAAAAAGAACTCCGAACAAGACATGTCAACCTTGCAGCATGGGAAGGAACATCAGGGCATAACTCAATGGCACGAGCAACTTAACATTTCAGAAAGCAGCACAATCGAAAGATCAATTATCTCAACTTTCACATATTTTATTATGATAATCATCCTCTATGGTAGGTGTACATTGGGACAACAAAGGTTCATATATTTCCTAATTTCTCAGGTTTATCATTAGTCGCCATAATGAGGTAGATACGAAATGGATCAAAATCCAAACTTCATATGCATTTGGAGAAAATTTCCATTAGAGTGTGGTGGCTGATAAGTTTCGGAAAGATGAACAACGGAAGTAAAACAATTGGAGTGCTTCCTTCAACCAGCAGAACCACACCGAGCTTCATCAAGATAATTTTGGCTTCCATGGCAAACGACATTCATGACCCCAACCACCCTTAAGCTAGAAAGATTAGCACGACATAGATTCCCTAAATCACGCGAAAAATGATCGAATTCCGGAATTGGTCTTACCCAGAATCTGATTTCCAAAACCAAATGCACAAATGGAGCTTGTATCTGGCCCAAATCAAATCGAGAAAAGTCCAATTCAGTCCTTCACAGAAGCAATGATCCAACATTCCAGCACGAGCTCCTCATCAAAAGACAACAACAGAGAGAAGGCAGAAGAGCGTTACCCAGAATTGAGGAAGAAACAAGAAAACCAGTACAGCAGAACGGGCATCAAGAGAGTCTCTTGTGAGAATTCAAAAGAGAATGAAATGAAAGAATGGAAAATGGGTTCCTCACAGACTATGAATAGAAGGTTGTGAGATTCCAAGGAGAATGCTTAAATTAGAAAGAGAAAATAACGGTGAAGCTCCACCTTTTCTCCCACAGACAAAGATCTATCTGTACGCTCTGACTCTCTCCCAACCTCAAGATTTTGGCTTTTGTTTTAGTTGTTTTTCTTTTTTCTTCCTGTCTGTTCTTATTTTGTCCTTATGCATCTTATGTAGGGAAATGGAGCGATTTGGCTGCACGTAGATCAGTCCTTTCTTTCATGCGAGGAGACAGGATCCAAGAAGACAAGCCTTTGATGTTTTGACCACAATTTGTCAGCCAAGAGGGATAGATCAACATAGGCAAGCAACGGTAACGAACTTTCAATGATTTATTAGTAAGTCTATTATCACCCAAAGACAAGACAAAAGATGACTCGAGCTATAATTCTTGGGTCCATCACCAATAATAGGGAGGGCATATAATAGTCTAGGAAAAAAGAGAGCGCATCCGATAAATGATACCTTCGATATTGGTTTCTCTCTAAATTTATCTAAACAGTTTGTCTCGCGTAACTTTGAAAGTATTTTCCTGAAAATGATTGCTTATATCACTTAATGATTAGTCAATGAAAAATGTTTTCATTACTAACAATAATCCATGTCTAAACATTATCGTGGACGATGAGAATATTTTTCGTTCGTTCGTTTTTGTAAGCGGTACAAACAAACGATCATTTTTAAGAAAAATGTTTTTCTAAATCATTCATTTTTCGCGAAACAAACGGGGCTTAAATAAGTTAGATTTCTTCACCGTGGCCTTGGCATATAGATGATATGATGGGATTTAGTGGGTAATTCTGCGAAGTAATAGTATATAAGCTATTGTTGCAAGGAACTATATTTAACTTCGATGCACGTGATTAGTTATGACGAGGTACCTGTTTCGTTGTGAGTATATCAGCCGAATGAATGTGCATCTTCTATCATCCACTATGCACCTCGGGATTTTTTCCAAGAGTGCGTCGATTTATCAGTTTCTTCATTGGATTTAAAGCGGGTCAACCAGTTTCCGGGCTATTTATCGAATTCCCCAAGAGCATGTCGACTTTAAGTATCTTCGTCGTAAACTCGTGTCAACTCATCTCGTGATTCTTTCCCGCCGAACGACATATCACTTAAGGAAAAGTATTCGGTCCACGAATCTGGTAACATGAATTCCTATAGAGAGTCGAATCGTGCGATCAAACTCGAGAAGCAGCAAGATTTTGATGATCACGACAATTTCTTAGTCATGCTGAGACATTACATGTTAGCGATTCAATAAAATAAATACTATTATAAATTTTCTAAACTTGGTGTCATCATCAGCGCCTGTAGCTCAGTGGATAGAGCGTCTGTTTCCTAAGCAGAAAGTCGTAGGTTCGACCCCTACCTGGCGCGTTACCGGAGAAGCCACGGTGTTTTGACTTTTGCTGTTCTTCTTCTGTAATTTTTCTTTTTTCAGTCAGATCGACAGTGGATAATCACAACAACATAATATTTCAATTCAATTTCATCTCGTTTAAGGAAATTGTAATTAAAAGGGGAAAAAAGTATTCTTAGTAAGAATCGAACACAAGAATCATGTCATGATTATAACGTTCCAAATTATCTCATTTTGTTTCGTACATAACGTGGCAAAATGCAGTAAAGGTTCTAACATAGGGTGCTTTTGTTTCATGGAAAATAATATGTTAGAGGAAATGGGTTTACCCGAAATTCATTTTCAAGGAAAGTAATTGATTTTTCCGTTATTTGGTTGTGAGCATGAAAATGATTGGGAAGTAGTTTTTCGATTTTTGTATTTTACTTCTTAAAATATTTTGGGTTAATACCACAAAAAATCTCAAACTGATACGTTGGGGTAAATTTATACTTGTAAAAGTTGAAGCGAGAGAGAGAGAGATTTATTGATGCTCTAAGCTTGATTGAAGTTCTTTGATGTCATATGGCCTGTAACGTCGTGAACTTTAGCTACCGAAACCATCTTCCTCTTATTAGAAATGAGAAATCGCATTCCCGATTTTAACCGCAAGTATTTTCTTTCATTGAAAATGCTTTTTGCTTGACTCACCAATTTTTGGGTTCCAAACGTTGTAAAATCTACAAAATATTTTTATAAAAATTCTTTTCAATGAAACAAACATACCATTTTCATTTTGTACATCATATGAAATTATATCCTTCCGAATTTAGTGCAATATTTTCGATTATTTGACAACGCTGTCTTTACTGTTAGCAGCTATGGATTATGTTAAAAAATGGTACAAATTATTTACATGGTGTCCTCTCATACTATTGATGGTCATGATTGACGGTACACGTAGGGGTGAGCATCCGGTCTAGGGTACAGGGTTGACTTTGGACCGACCCTGGACTAATCCAACTCAGCCAGTCCTAATTCGATTCTTAGGGGGACTGCACCGGTCCCCGATCTTGGAGTTGCTGGAATTTATATTGTGTTGGTTGGTACTTGGTCCTGAGGCTTTAAGGTTGAGCCAACCCGGACCAACTCTGTACATTCTTTTTTCTGAACCCTAGGTATACAACCTAAAGTGCCTAGCCCATCCTCTTTTTTTGCCCTCTTCCTATCCCTCTTCGAGTCTCACTCTCACTCTCTCCCTTAATCTCAGATCTTCTCGAGCTCTCAGTGGCTCGATTTCTTTCTCTCTCTCTCTCTCGCTCTTGCAATGACTCTCTCTCTCTCTCTCTCTCTCTCTCTGCTCGTTTATTCTTCGCCGTTGCCGATCATCAGAAACAAAGACTCCAAGATGTCACTAACTTAAATTGATCATCGTTCACTGTCAACATCTGTAAATCAAAGGTAAGTATCTCCATACTCAATTCTAAGAGAAAGATAGGCCAATAATCTTAACTTGAATGGCTACATTCATTTTGCATCTTCGTCGACAATCATATTAACAATTTCCTTTTATTAATGTTTGATACTTCAACATGAATACCATTAACTTGAACAAACATCTTAACATTTGAAAAAACAAAAACAAAATGGGGCTTGAAATTAGGGTCCATGCTAAAAAAAAAAAAACAAAACAAAACTAGGGTCCATACTAGAATCTGTAATATTGGAATTTCTCTTCTCATGCTCGAAACAAAGATTTGAATTTGTGGATCTAATCATGTTGGCATTATGGGCTTTTAATTCAACTCACAAAGATGAGTTTGATAATCTCAGCAGCTCTGGCACGAGCATAGTTAAAGACTCATTCAAGAATGAAAAATGCCACATATTATTGATCATTAAGTAAAGCATGAGCACATTTTTATTCTAATTTTAGCGGCTATGAAAAATTCCTATAGTACGTTGATTCTTTCGAGAAATACAAAAAAATAAAATATAAAAAAATCAATTGATCTCGGGTTGACTTTGGAATCGAACCGTACCCATAGGGTTGGTCTAGTCCTCGATCTCAGGTTCAACAGGATCAGTCTCCAATTCCAAAAAGTGGAGACCAACACTGTTTGGGCTAGTATCTATGTTAGGTGCTGTACCAACTCAACCCGAACCATGCTCACCTGAGGCACAAGCTCCTGTATTCTCCTCATCGTATGAAGATCCAGCAACATCGAATATTACGATGTTTACCTTCCCCCTTTGGCTGTATATCATTTAAAAAAAAGTTTCATTTGTGACTATTGCTATTGATTAGCTACAAATTTTCAACGATAACACTACTTTCATATGATGTACCAACGCTAGAAATTGCAGCGATTCATCCAAGAGAACATCATATCGAATCACGGGTATAGGAGAAAATTTGAGGATATCGTTGGCACAAGAGTGTAGAAAACACCGCTATAGAGATCATAAAGGGGTGGGCAGAAAACCTCCAACAAATTGTACACAGGCATTGCACAAGTTCCATTTTACAGTACCCCCACATGTTTCTGACATTTTTCGGCAGTTCACATTTAACCTATACTGCTCTTTGATCATTCTCCAAGCGACGATTTCCTGCGCCATTTAGCCTCGGTGGAGTCCAGTCCCATCTGAGTGTCAAATAAGGAACATGCGTATGAGATGTGTACGAGAGAGAGAGAGAGAGAGAGAGAGAGAGAGAGAGAGAGAGCTAATCCTTAACCTACTCAATAAGGAGTCTGGGAACACCAAAAGAATGTCTGCTTCCAGATCCCTAAAATGGTCAGTAGAAGGAATGCACATAATCACTATGATTTCACCACTTCTTGGATGTGTTGAGAATGGCTTTTTCCTGGGGGAATAAATATCAGATCTTCCCATCCTGAATTCTTCTCACTCATCTGTATCATTCACAACAGTCTTCCAAGTAAATCCCGTCTGTTTTTCATTTCAAGCATGCATTTATCGAAGGAATTAAGCAATCGGTATTCTACCTCCATTTTTCTGAGAACATCTTCTAGACTTCCAACCTGTCAAAAGAGTATGCCACTTAGTAAACAAAATAAGAATGAACTAAGAAATTACATCAGAAAGAAAGCAATCAGCAAGCCCTCTCTAGGGAAGGAAACAAAATCAGTCATGACTCGTGAGCAATCAAAAGCAACACTCCAATATCGCAGATCACTTCCAGTGTGGCAATGCTTCCTTGATCACAGCAATAATAATGGCATTGAAATATGGGCATTAGTGATTACCATCTTGCATCTTCAACAGACGCTGAGTCCATATCTCCAACGTATTGATGTATAACAAACAATTTAGCATATCCACTAAAATAAAAGTTATTCCCAAGCTTTTCACCAATTTAAGTGACACAATCACAAGTAACATCTACAAGATATACAAGGTGCATGCCAGCACTAACACATTTAGTAGAACACTTCATATATACATCTCCATTTTCACATCCTCAGACGCAAGTTGTTAAAAATCTTTAATATAGATGAAGTCAAGGAAAGAAAACATGCTTGTAGAATATAACAGTTTATGACTGTTGAGTGGAAGTATCGGCACACAATTTGACAAACCAGAGCACCCCTGAAAAGGATCTAACCTAGATTTAAACCATCCAGAGCTTCTTCCACAGAAGCAATCTCCTTTTATAGGTTGACCACAATCATAGAATCACAACAGCTAAGGAAAGTATGGGGAAAGCCAGAGTAAGTTAGAAAAGCTTAGTCAGTGATACCATGATATGCTGAGATAAACCTGCTCCTCTTGATGCCCTGGAGACCATTGACAATTCCTTTTCAATATCTTCCTGCATCACCATGTCATGCATATAGATCATGTACTCAGACAACTGTGATAGCAAAAGTTCTTGTACTAAGAAAAGAATAACATGACTAAGAGAGGACATGTCAAACTAACCTTCCGGAAATATATTGGGCAGAAACGTCTGTTCTTTTTCTTGACAACCAAAAGATCAGACTGCAGAGCACAAGAAGATGAGAAAAGGCACTACCAATAGCTAACTCTAAATTCGCATTTACTTATGCCAACGTAAACCCTGGTCACGCAACAGCAGTTGAAGGCATAGTCCTCGTAAGGCCAAATATCTCCATGTTTTTTCTTACAGGTGGTGTTGAACTAGAGGCCGGAAGGTATGGATTCTTAAGATCCTCAGGAATCTACTCTTTCACACAAAATAGACATTGATTTTCCTAGAAAGATAGTTTCAAAGATTCATGACTCTAAGATTGCATCATTACTTCAGGCTAATACTTGTTCCACCACAAGTACAATTCTCTTCACAGGCTCATGAGTATTAATTAATTCAAGTTGCTTTCAACCAAACTTAATTAAGCCTTAAAACAGCTGACATATAATGACAAGTAACTACTGATACCTATTCTCCAAAAAACTTTATTGGCATATGTTGCTCACAATTCTCCATGTAGACATATCAAGCTTATAAAAGGCGTCCTAAGAGAACCAACAGATTAAGGGCTGCAATTAGCGTACCTGGAAAACTGGGACTCCGTCAAACCCATTTTTCATTGCTTTCATCTACCAATCAATTGAGATTGTAGTCAGCACATCAGATATTTATTGCCAATAGTATATTTCACAATTTTTTTTTATGGACAAACAATAGCATAATATTGTATAACAATATCCTGCACTACTACATTTATTCACTTTAAGAAAAGGCTCAAGGCAAATTCTGAGGGCTAAAGCTAGTTTGGGCTTTTAACTTTTAAAGATGAGTTTGCATTGATTTATCATGCTCAATGCCAGGTCATTTTCTCCAGTAAATAGCCAAATGTCAAAAGTGGTGCTCAAAAGCCCAACATATTCTAGTCAATACTCTCAGGAATTTTACATAAGATCCCCACTTACTTCAGAGCACATAATAACATGGTTTAGCTCAATTGTGGAGTGGCATATTGTACAAACAAGCTGGACTGAATTAAAGTTGCCACTGACCTCTAATGCATTCTTTATTTGCACTGGATCAGGCAAAAACCGGAAAGCAATTCCTTCCACCTTTAGCATGTATACCTAAAAGTTGACCGAGGTAAAGAAAAACATTTGAAAAAGAATGCCAAAGCATATGTCCGTAACATGATGAATTAAAATTGAACAATTAGACAGATGTAGCAGCTGCACTAAAAAAGCAGTTATTGGCTTCATCACCACACATACCCTTGTGCAGAGAAAGAGATAGAGAGTTGTCAAAAATTTCAACCTATTATCCGCATTTACCATGATGCTTATTGAGAGCAATGAAATTGGAGCCTTATAGGGCGAGGTAAACATTTAGCACAAGATTCATGGCGTCGTTTGAAATCCGAGCTTAATCATCAATAGTAAAAAAGAAAAAGGAGATACCATTCTAGAAGTTAATAATCAATTTACAGTTGTCGACATCGACATCATGGCTCACAGCAAAGCAATTACCGTGTTACAATTAATAATTCTTCAATTATATTCGAGTAAAAAAATTACAACTATAGACAGGTCCGCCCAATAAGGATGTGCTACTATTGGGCAGTCACTAACCAGTAAATTTTCTCTGTGAAGACACTACTCATAATCAGGCAGTACATATCTAAAGGAAAGACTGATTAAGTATAATCAGCCGATATAAAATCGAAAAGCACAACCATTAAATGTCTTTAGCGTCAATCAGTGTCTGCGAAACTTTCCGCAAGGGGCCACAGCGTTATAAGATATTCTTAAAAGCTTTGTCCTCTTCAGATTTGGAATGATATTTCAAATTTGCATGTCCGTGCAATGCAAATAAAAAGAAAGCAACTCTAGGATGTCTGGCTGGCATTGGTGAACCAAAAACCAAGATCATCATTCATTCACTGTGTTCGTGCAGATAGGTATGTATTTAATATGTATACATGTATGTATACATGTGTGTGGGCGTAGCATCCACATGGTCGGGCTAGCGCCGCGTAAGGAAATCTCAATCTGCAACTTCATTTGCCTAAAATACGCTTTTGTGATACCGATTTATTCACCTCACATAGCAATACGAGTATTTGACTGTGATCACAATTTCCTTTTTTGCTAAATGGACCTTTTGTATGAACAAGCAGCAGTTATGCAGTCCATAGTGGCAAACAGTACTTGTCACACAACCATGAAAAGAAGCAGCTACTCACCAAATAGCTTCATATAATCGCATATTCGAGAATGAAAAAAACACAAAAAATCAACGAAACTGTTCCACAATATTAATCATTACATTACATGTCAAAGATAGGCCTAAAGCTATTTGTAGTTCTTGGGATATTCAGGTCTCTTAACTGGAGTTGAACTCTATGCTGTTCTTGGTTCATAGTATGATCAAGCTACCTATGCCATTTGTTTGTTCTCAATGAATTCTTGCTTACCTAGCAGAAACCCAAAAAAAGGGGAATGAAAAAAAACCTAGGAAGCACGGACACTCTCCGGGGGCCTCCATGTCGGTGTCAAACACTCCTTTTTATTATTATTTATTTATTTATGGAATCATAAAAATGATAATTTATCATGTATACGTAAAATATATAATTAATATACTTGTCCCAACATGTCGGAATTCTTTATCTTTTGAGAAATGACGTGTTGTGTCGTGTCGCGTGTCGGTGTCGGTGCTACTTAGAAAAAAACTACTATACTAGGTTCAGGTGGCAGGCGAATTACAACAATTCCCCATTCACGGATGCACGATACAGTAATATGTCAAAGCTTCGAGCAATAAGCCAATTTTACAAGAGCATTCTTCGAATGACTAATGCGTAGTCATCCACAGAAACAGAAAATTCAACGATCTAGATAGTGAAGGAACAATCACCTGGTCAAGAGTGATGGGAACAACCCGAGCCTGACCTTTGAGTTCTCTTCTCCGCAACCGAACCTGGAATTTCGGTAAAACTCACTCAATTGAGCAATGCATCAAAGATGGAAAGTGAACTGAACAGTAGAGCACACTGACTTGAGCAAGAAATGATTCCGCATCCTCCTGCCGAAAGCAAAGGAGTCCTATCGATTTGGTTCCATCCGGATCAGAGACAAGCACGAACTCGTTGTTCGAGTTGCTGACGGTATACACGGCCGTGCCGGCGAGGGTCCTCGCGACGCCGGAGGCCGGTGACGAGGCGGCCTTGGCCTGCGCGACGGACGCGAACGGCGGCGGCGGAGCGGGGAGGGCGCGGAGGAGGCGCCGTGGGGCCGGCGGCGGCGACGGCGGCGGGGGCGGCGGCGGCGGGAAGCTGGCGGCTAGGGTTACGGCGAGGCGCTTGGTCTCGTCGAGGCGGGAGGAGAGCTCGGAGCCGAGGCGGAGGCAGTGCTGGTGGAGGAAGGCGGAGAGGGAGAGGAGGGGGTTCCGGGAGGCGCAGGGTTTCGGAGGCGACTCCATCGTCGACGGCGAGACGGTGCAAGCCTTTGGCTGTCGGCACTGTGCTACGGAGAGAGGGAGCGAGACTGGTAGAGAGAGAGAGAGAGGACGCTGAGGTTTTGGTATCGTCACCGGAGCACACGTGTGAAGCTAAACGACGGTCCAGCGATGACGCGTCTGGAATGGCGTGGTCGAGCAGCGCGCGTTAATTAGGCCCAAGTTTTTTTTGGTCAAATAATCAGGCCCAATTAACCTAAATCAAATCATTTCATTTTTTTTAATGGAAAATGACGTTAATTTGCTTAACGTGCAGTGTGGTCCATGAATTTTAAAATTGTTCAATATTATGCATGAAATTTTGGTACATGTTCAATTTAATCCCTAAACTATATGCAAATTTCAATGTGACCAAACAAATTAAAAGTTCAGGGATCACATTGTACATTGAGTTAAAGTTCAGAGATCACATTGAACAAATTAAAATTTCAGGGACTACATTTCATATTAGGGAAAATTTTAGAGACCGTTTGTGTCATTATTCCCTTTTTTTAATTGATAAGTCCACGATATATTCTTCTTTTTGCTCTTCTTCTTTGATGCTTTGTAAAAAAAAAGCACATTTCTCTTCCTTTCCTTTTGCTATATCTTTTTCAAACACTTTTAAATATTTCCCTCACAAAAATTATCTTCTCTGAATGGAAAGAAAAAGTTACACTCGCTCCAGCCCTTTAATTGAAGCCATCGCTGTTGCTCGTCGATGTTCAGTCTGTACATCTCTCTCACTAAATCAAGAAGCTAAGTCCTTTGCTACGATCTCCGAATCTCCGAGTATTGTTAATTTGTAGTTGCACATACTTTTCAAATTGTATGGAAGTGATTCGAATGTAAGCTAATGGTGTGAAGTTGGTAGTGTTTTTCTGTCTTCCATTTGCCTCGTTTTTTTGGTCAAACACAAATGCCATTTCATTCATTCAAAAGCAGTACCAAATTAGCAAAGTTGACAAAAGTCAATACATAATAAATCCCAAAGAGGTTGGGGTGATCTAGACATCCAATTGGAGGGGAGGGTCCCTTTTTGGTGGGACTTGGCGTTCTAGTCTGTGACTTGGTTAGCTTCCCATGGGCAATGGGCCAGAGAGACACCTTCTAATTGGGCTAGTAGTGCATTGCATTCCTCAAAGAGACATCTCAAAGCCCCCCATGGGCTCAATCCAGTATGGGACTTGGTTAGCTTCCATTTGCCTTGTTGAGTGGAGTAAATTTTGCGGGGGAAAGCCAAGTTGTAGAATTCTTACATTTTTCTTAGGGAGATTGTGAAGCTGTGATATTAAGGGATTGATTTTTTTTTATCAAGCAAATTTTAAAAAAAATTTGTCGATGAAATTTGAGACCATGTATAGTATTGTTGTTATTCTTTGACAATATATTGTTCAACCTGGAAAAATCAGTAAACATTTCTTATTTTAACTAATATGCAAATATACTGGAGTCTTTGAAGGTAGAGGAACTTAGTTGTGTTGGGAAAATCACCTATGTTATTTGAGGATGACAAAACTATCAAACGCTATAATATGTGTATTGGTCCGGTAATATCATATGATATGTGCACAAGGCAATATGCAGATGATGTCATAATCAACACCAGATGAGCTAATATTGAAAGTGCTTTGCCACTGCCAAGAGTGCTCTGTCGATATCAAGGATGAACAATGTATTGGGCGTCGAGATGTCTACAAGTTAGAAGTACCTTGAGATAGAGTGAACATTTAAAAGGATCTTAATTGAGGGTGAAAAAGTCGGGAAGAACGAGGATGTTTGTGATAACTTAGAGGTACCAAGATAGAGTGAATAGTTGGATGGACCTGGCGATGGTGAACAAGCCCAGAATGAGGATATTCGGTAAACCTTAGAAGGAACATGAAGACGAACAACTTGGTAGAGTCAGAATTGCCAATATGCTTGGAAGGACTAGAAGATAGAAGATAGAGTAGTTATTAGGAGCAGCGGATCATTATTAGGAGTAGCAGATTGTTGGCACGAGCAGCTCTCTCTATCACATGAGCTAGAAGATTATGATGATATTGATGACCCATGTGAGTTAAATGAAGATTGGCGAAGATAAGGATAACAACTCTAATATGATGAGGATTTCATGAAAACTTGAATTACCATGGTCAATTTTTCATCAACTAGAAGTCTTTGGAAGCAGACATACTCAGAAGGGTTATTGGATGATTGATCGCAAGTCATTCCATATGGTTTGACCGTGGACAATTCTAATAGACTGATGATAATGAGCATATCCTAATTATGGGTAATGGATTGTGCTGATATCAAGTCATGAACTTGCTGGTCACTTGCTCATATGATTGGTATGTTGATCAAGACGAAAATAGCCACTGACAAAGCTTTGGAATTCGCAAAAAGAGCACCAAAATGGAATCAAAGCAGTTTTGGCAGTTATGAGTAAAATACAAACTCTAACAATAGCAGACTAACTGTTTCGGGAAATTGCCACTATTAGAGAGATATTTTGACGATTATGAGCATCAAAGAGACATTTGGCTGCTGATAACAGTAGAACCAATGGCTACTTGATGGAATTGAGTTGTAAACGGTCATACAAGGTTAGATGGCTATATATTTAATCCAAAAGAAATAGTGGGTTTGGGTATAAACGAACAAAACTAATCTATTGCTTTGAATGTCATTTTTGGCTCTATTTTTGTTGATAGTAGCTGTGTATTGGTGATCAATAGATTGATAGGAGCAGTAGTGCTAATTGTAACTTATCTTGAAGATTATTAGTGGATTTCAGTCATGTTGCGACTGTTAGTGTTGAGAGTGAACGTAGGCTTGGGGATAAAGCCGAATCATTATAAATCTTGGTGTGCTATCTTCCATCTCTTCAATATCAACATTACTTGTTCATTATTATCAGTATATGTTCATCAGTAGGACTGCACTTGATTTCTGCCGCTAATGAAGTTTATCTTGTTATCTTTCGCAAAAAGTTTTTCATTATTCTAAAATAACGTATTCACCCCTTTAAGTTGTATTATTAACCCTGACAATCGGTATCAAAGTCTTGTTGCTTGTTACTTGTGTTTCATTTTTTAGCACAAAGATCTTTTATGGCTAACGTTATGGGTTTTTCCTTTTGCGAAGGACATTCAGTTTTTTGGCCACCTCACTTTCATGGAACCAATTATGGATAATAGAAATAGAGAATGGAAGTGTTTATCCAAGCAAACGAGCTTGCTACGTGGGATGTGATTAAGCATGAACCAGAAGTTCCTACTGCCATGAGGTTAGGTGACCGTAAAAATTGAAGGCACCGATGCAATTCGTTTGTGTAACATATATATGTCTATTACTAAGATAAATTCTTAAATTGGAGAAGATGAGTCTTTTATATCCATAACCTTTCAAGCTCACTCATCTTTATTATTCTTTCTCTTTTCTACACATCATTCTGGGATCATCTTCTCTTTGCTTTGACGAAGGGGAAAATTACACAAATGATCTCTAAACTTAAGCTTAATATGCAATGCAGTCCATAAAATTTTAATTTGTTCAATGTAATCCCTGAACTTTTGGTACAATTTCAATTAGTCCCTAAATTATATGAAAATGTTTGATGTTGTCCCTGAACTTAAATTAATGGAACGAGAATATTCAATATTTTCATATAGTTCAATGACTAAATGAACATACACTAAAAGTTCAAGGATTACATTTAACGAATTAAAAGTTAAGGAAGCATATTGTACATTAGTGTAAGAATTTCCTAATGTGGGCTTCATTAATTGAAATTAATCGAATTAGTTTAGTCTAATAAAGGTGAGATATATGGTTCTTAATAAGTCTAATATGGGGCTGGCTAGTGTGGGCTGAGTACGGCCTGGCCCGTAATGAGAGGGTCCATGGTCGAAAACTCTATAAATAGCCCTCAAGTTCCTTCCATAACCCGATGATGCATAATTTGACTCACATACGGATTTAGAGAGGAATTTCTTCTTGTGAGTGGCAATTTCGTTAGGCCAGTATCCGACAAAGGGTATAGGGGAGATGCACTTGAGTTCGTGTTCGGAAACTGTCGCCAATTCCGCGTCAAGTTTGATGGATTCCAAACCAGGTACCCGAATAGATAATTTCTCCATTTACGCGTTTCGGTTTCTGTTTATGGCGATTTTGGGTGTGCTATTTTCGTGGCCAACATGTGGTATTAGAGCCTACCATAGATTAGAACTAAAACATGCGGATTAAGACCGTTTTTCGTTTTGACCAAGAGGTTTTTGCCACTTTTCGGAATTTTTGGTCGGATAAAAGTTGAATTTTATTCCATATTTGGAATCTACTCGTCAAGACGAGTAGATTGACGGGCGACACGTCACCGGCAGAGGCTGCACGTGCCTTCATGTGCCGACACACGTCGTGGGCGTGGCGGCTCGTGATGGTCACGCGCGGCCGTGACCAACTGGCGTGTTTCCTCGCCGGTAATCGCTGACATGACGTCAGCGGGACGCGGATCCGGATTGACCTGAATCGTGACGCGACCCGAAAGTTGACACGATCGGTTTGTTGACCGTTGACTAATTGGATCGGTCAACTGGTTGGATCGGTGGTTTAGACCGGTTTGATCAGCTGAACATGCGTCGCGCTTTCGAGCGGCGCATGAGGGCGCGTTCGAGGTTCGTTTGGGATGTTCTTGGTATCGACACGCTCGTATCAAGATTCTCTACATTGTGGTATATTTATTTTACATGGTTGAATCTTTTAAGGATGTGAAAATAGGTATAGAACCCTATATACACGTAATTTAGGGTATTTTTGCGTATTTTCTTGTATTTCTCTATAGTTTTGAAAATGCATATGGTAGCTCACATGTATATCACCACATAAGGAATGTGTAGAGTGTAATTCATTGTCTATCAATGAATGAAACAATATAATTAGCATGGCATGTAATTTCAAAGATATACGCCCCTATCTTTACATCTAGCATTACGTGTATACAGTGAATGTGATACATAAAGCTCCTATCCCTGGTATGAGAGATTTTCAAGGATTCAGTTGGGTAGTGACCACCAAAGTGGCACAC